GGTAGGAGGATTGCCACAAGTTCAAGGCCAGCCTGAGCTATATAGTGAGACCCTGTGTCCAAAAAAAAAAAAAAGACACCTAAGTTCTGGACTGATTTGGGATCTTGATTTGAAAGGTGGTCAAAATTGGGCAGATGCATTTGTTAAGCCTGGCTTTGTCCAAGGGAGAGTCCTGAGTTTATACTTTTGCCAAGAAGAATTATCATAGCAGGGAATCTTCTGGTAATCCTTATCTTTGGCACAGATTGTGGGAGGAGATGGGATTGCTTAAGGGTAGGGGGAGGAAATGAAAAACTTTTTTTTTTGGTACTGGTGATTGAACTCTGGACCTTGCACTTGTGAGGCAGGCTTCGGAACCACTGAGCTAAATCCCTGGCCCTGGAAAACTTTCATTTTCAAAATATGTTTTCAGGGTTGTGGTGGGACAGGCCTGTAATCCTAGCACTCAGGAGGCTGAGGCAGGAGAATTGCTGTGAATTTGAGGCCACCCTGGGCTACATAGCGAGTTCAAGGCCAGCCTGAACTACATAGCAAGGCCCTGTCTCAAAAAAGAAAAAAGATGAGTTTGTTCCCTGGTACCAAAAAAAAAGTTCTGTTTTTCCTTCCCCCAGCCTTATCATATTCTCTTGTCAGTATGCCACACTATAGTTTTAAGTGCAGAGCAACTTGTACACAGCTAAATCTACTGCTTCTTTTCTTATAGTGGTTTTAAAATTTGAAATAGATTTTTACAGTATTTTAATTCTCTATTTCACCTCGCCACCAAGTTCAGACAATTTTACATTGTTTTCAACTTGCTGTAAATTTCCTAAGGTCCTCTGAGTTTAAGTTATTTTTAACTGTTATGTTTTTATAATAACAGCAACACAAAAAAAGCCCCCACAAAGTAGGATGCTATGGAGGTAATTGCCAATTTGAGCCAGCATATGATTACTTTGTTACTATCATTATCATCACCATTAATTTTTCTGAGGCAGGCTTTTGCTATGTTGCTCAGGCTGGCCTTGAACTTAAAGATCTTCTCTCAGCCTCCTATCTGGGAAAGGTACTCAATTTTTAAAGTAAAATTCAAGTCTCTGAAGATTGTAACCTAAAACTGCAGGTTTCTCCAGTTGGTTAGTTTTAAGGGGACATCAGTTGCTTGCTTCTTTCCTGTATCCCTTATATTATTGCACCACCAGCAGTTGCTGTCTCCTTAGTAAGGTTATGACTTTCCTAAAATTATGTTCTAAGGTTGTGACTGTTCTCTGGATGTTTATACTTTTAGTTTCCTTATATGGACTGATGGTGATTTTTTTTCACAACACAGGCATGTGTTTTTGTGTTAGTCTAATCTCTTCTGTGCTCTAGAAGCAGACTTCATGTTATTGCCCTTTCAGACACACTAAGTTTGTGGAGTAGACATGAAGTATGGTTCACGGTCACACCAGTTAGGACAGAGGTTTGCAGATGCCACCCAGGTCCTTTTGCTCAGCCCTGTTTCACCTGTAGGCCTAATGCTCTGCATTTCTAGCGCTTCTCTCTTCTAACCCACTTTTACATTATCCTCTTAAGTTTATCCATTCTTATATCAAGATCCAAGGTGCACTGTTCTCTTGAGTGTTTCCCTTATCTATATTGAACAGTTTTAATTATTTGGGTTCTTTTTTTCTCTTTAGAACTGGAAATTGGCACTGTGATACATCCCAGCCTCCTGCCGCTGCGGCCCCCCCTCCCCCCTTTGAGACAGCAACTTACTGAGTTATCCAGGCTGGACTCAAACTTGTGGTCCTCTTGCCTCAGCCTCCCAGAGTGCTGGGATTACAGGACTGCTCCACTGCATGCAATATTATTTGGGTTCTTGGTGCTCTGTCAGGCTGTCTGTACCTCCCCTCTCACCAGGCTTTTAACTACTGCCCTTAAAAGAAGAGGCAAATCAAACTGAGGCAGGCAACCAGAGAAAGTAGAGCAAACCACAAAGCGAATTCAGAGTGAAAGAACGGGAAGTAAAAGGAAAAATTAAGGTCACCTTCTGCAGCACAGCATAACCACTCCTGCCATCTCTAGTTCTTTCTTTCTTTCTTTTTTTTTGAAACCGGGGATTGAACTCGGACCTTGCAGGAAGGCAGCGGCACTACTGATCAAAATCCCCAGCTTCATCTCTTTATTTCTAATATGTCCTTTGTGGGGAAAGCTGGAATGTATGCCTAATTAAGAAATTTTTTTAAAAAATTATGTGTGACTAACTGACTTTTAATTCTACTTTTTAATTTCCCTTAATATCTGCATTTTTGTATTTGCATAATTGTTTTTATTGTCACTTAACTTTATAACCCTTTTCTAAAATTGAGTGACTTGTGATTAATTTCTGTGTTTTCTTTTCCTACAAGCATGTTGAATTTAATTGTACAGAGATGAACTCTAAAGAACTGTCAAAGAGATGCACTCTCCATCCTGTCATAACATTTCCATCTTGCAGGTTTTTAAAGCATTGTTACTTTGTAAATAGCAAAATGGACTTTAGTAGCAATGTATACACAGGATCTCTACTCCCTGGTTTCTTTTAAAAAGTATTATAGGGCCAGGGATTTAGCTCCATAGTGCTGTGGCCTGCCTGGCAACTACAAGGTCCTGAGTTTGATCCCCAATACCAGAAGAATAAACAAACAAAAAACCCACAAAACTGTAGACTTCTTTTAAATAAAAATTCTATGATTGGGGAAAATGGTTTTAAAACTTTAAATCAGTGTTTCTCAGACTGCAGCTTGGTGAAAATTAGTGTAAGGCACACACATCCTTCCATACCCTGGAAAGCGCCCAGTGCCTCAGTCAGTTTCTCATGCTAAGTACTCTTGTTACGGATGTGATTCTGGTTCAGACAGAAAGGTAATTAGAATTCATGTATTGTAAGTGAGTAATAGGCAGTAATAACCAGTGGAATTACTTGAGGTTTGGTGATTCCTTTTTATTTATTTACTTATTTTTAATTTTTTATTTATATATTAATTAGTACATTTTAGGTATACGTTTACATTTATCACTGGGTGTTTGTACCTGAACATGATGTATCTTATCTTAGTTCTTATTTTTTCCCCCATTACCTGTGCACCCTTCACCCCCACCACCCTTCCCTATTTACATAGACTTTGTTTCCTTTTTTTTCTTTCTTTCTCATAATTTTTCCTTTCCTTTCTTCCCTTTCTCCTTCCCCTTCCACCACCCCTACCCCTTTGGACCTTTTCCTATTTCAAATTATCAATTATTTGTTTTAATCATTTTCATCCTTATTTACACTTTCAGTTTCTCACACTAGAGATACTATTTGGTATGGTGATTCCTTTTTAAAAGGAATTCTTAAGCTAGATATTCTGACTTGCTTATTGACTCATAGTTACTCCATGGGCCAGGTTGGATTTTTTTGGGTTTTTTGGTACTAGGGATCTTACACAGGATCTTGCGCCTGGTGCCCCTGAGCTAAATCCCCGGCCCCGAGTCCAGTTTGTTTTTGATAGGCGTCCTGTCAGCAGCTCCAGTACACATAGAGAAAACAGGACAAACCTCCCAGTGACCTGCTCGTTCCAGGGAGGCTGACAGCGCTGCCTGGCATCATGATGGGGTGATTGTACTGTGTGGGGTCACACAGTCTCCTCTCACTCGCACCTTGTTTCTGCTTCCTTTAATAGGATGGGAGAGAGCTTCTGCCACTGTACCTCCAACGTAAATCAGCTGAGTCCAAGGCTCGGACAGATAAACCACTTAGCTGCTGTTCTAGTTCTAGACTGTGGATGGTTATGTCTGGATGTTGGAGAGAAGACCCAGCTTCTGCCTTCCTGGGTCAGGTGCAGACAGGTGCAGCTGTCGTTACCCAGCCTGGAACCTCTAGGCCCGTGCCACACATGTTGCCTGCCTCTCATTAGGGATGGAGCTTGGTGGTAGAGATCTTGCCTAGCATGCTGCTGGAGGCCCCAGTTCTATCCCCAGCACTGAAAAAAAGAAAAACAAAAACCAGACACAAAAAACCCTGCATGTTCAAGAGTTCTTCATTCGTTTACTTCTTTACAGGCTGAACATAGCTTCTTCTTTGTTGTAAGCTGAGCTTGCCTAGGAGAAATCTTTGCAGTTAGACAAATCAAATGGTGAAAGTAGAAAGAAAGCCTGTGAAATTTGGGAGCATGCAGAGATGAAGTTTTAGAGTCACTGCCTAAATACTAAAATGCCACCATTTGTCATTTGGAGGGATGTGGAGCTCATTTGAGAACAGAGCACACATCTGCCTTGACTACTAAGTATACCCATCTCTGCCGCTCACCCAGAATAGAATGTTTATGTGTGTGCTTGGTACCCTTGGTTTTGGCAACACCCTCCTGAACCCCGTTCTGGGGATCACACCCAGGGCTTCGCCCCTGAGTTCCAGCCCTGGCCTTATTATCCCTTAGAAAAGGAAAGAGAAAGTCAAGAGGCTTAGCCTGCGGCTCACTCTCTCTTCTCCTACATGTTTTAGTGTCGGTCCTTAATAGGCTTACTTCATTTTGTTTATCATCATTGTACTGGGTTTTGATTTTTGTTTCTTTAGCAAGATCAACAGAGAAATGAAAAGACGTTGTTTTCTAGTATACTATCAAGAAAGAGGCAGAATACTATTATTCCCTTTTTGTTTTCTGGCAAGTTAATTTTTTTTCTCTACGCCCTCTGGCAAGTTAATATTCAGAATTAATAAATTTTGTGTCTGCCACCTAATGAATATTATTGAACCAAAGACTTTTTTTGGTCACACTGGAGATTGAACCCAGCACCTTATGTATGCTAGACAAGTGATCTACCACTGAGCTTCATTCCCAGGCCTTTCTAAATTTCATTTTGAGAGCAGCTACCCAGGCTAGCCTTGAACTCTCGATGGTCCCACTTCATATCTCTTAGCTGGGATTACAAATATGTACCATCACACCAAGCTGAACAAAGGATTCTTAATGTTCCCTCTGACCAGGACCCATTAGGTAACATACTTTACCCTCAGAACCTTTGAGAAAGCAGGGTCCTCTCCTGAGGAGGTAGTTGTGTGTAAGCAGCATTTCTCCTGGGCTTTTTACAAACACTTTGCCTCTGTCTTGCTTACATGACTGCTTTGAGGTTAGTTTGGATCCTAGTACTATGCTCATTACTGCCTTTGGTGCTCGGAAACTAAGTTTAAAACCATGGCCAGTAATCCAGGAGAAGATTAAAAACATTTTCAGACCACACAGTGACTTTGCCCTCCCCATCCCCCTCTTTCAGGTAGTTTTAGGCTTTGGGGAACTTGGAAAACTGATTTGCAGGAAGGAGCTTGGAGACGTGAAACAAGTTTGTGTTTCTTCTGCTCTGTTGACCACTGCTATCTTCATGGATCTGAAACTATTTATCTGACAGTGCACTTAGTACTGCTTCGCCAGGGAAAAAGCACACAAAACAAGCCTGGCGCATCAGCACTTTCATTGTGTTCCGGCTGAGCCTCCCTTCACATGGTCACAGCCCGCTTTAATCCAGTCCTCCCCTTCCCTGCCCCTTCCCCAGACCTGCCTCTTTCTACAGCACTTACTGCTGGTTTCCCTGAGCTCCTGTTTCTACTTTGTGTTTTTTGTGGAGCCCAGGAAGCTAAAGCTGAGTATATTTGTGGATGAGACAAGTGCAGCAAGTTAATGTCATTGGCTTCTGAAGGGGACAGTGAGGTGATGGCTGCGTTTAAGTTGGATTTCCTTCCAGAAATGATGGTGGAGCATTGCTCTTTGAATTCCAGTCCTGTGTAAGTATTTTTGTTGTCTAATTTTTTTTTTTATCGTAAGCAGAGGAACTGGGCTGTTTTTGTTTTTACTTGGTGAAACTTGTTTCTTTCATTAAAAGAGGGAATAAAAGAGTTTTTAAAGGGGGGGGGGCGGGAATTGGACAAGAAAGCCAAAGTCTGAATTCTCTCATGCTGTTATTTTCTGTTTTAGTCTGATTCTGACCTTTAACTGCTCATTTCTTCTGGCCTCTCAGTAAGTTCTTTGCACAAGGCTGCACTTGATACATGACCAGCCACAGCCCCTCAAGGTGCTGCTCAAGCCCTTCAAGGGCGAGTGTTTTCCCATATTGCTTTGGATTGGGCATGCACTTACACTTTTAGGAATAAAGTTTTTTTTCAAGTATCAAGTTCTTAAACTATCACAGAGGAGACTGGTGGTTATGGTGTTTTTGGTACTGTATATACCATTCTGTTTGTTTGTTTGTTTGTTTTCTGGTTTTGGTACTGGGGATCGAACTCGGGACATTGTGCTTGCGAGGCAGGGGCCGGAACCACTAAGCTAAATCCCTGGCCCTGTATACAGCATTCTGTATTGATGTCTAAAGTATAATTCTGAAGGGCCGGGAATTTAGCTCAGTGGTTCTGGCGCCTCCCTCCCAAGCTCAAGGTCCCGAGTTCGATCTCCAGTACCAAAAAAAACCCCACAAAAAACAATAAAGTATAATTCTGTACTTTGATTTCCCCCAATCTAATTGAAAATGCAATTTAGCACAGGATTTCAGAAATGTCAGATATCCCCCATCCTCCAAGAAAAGAAAAACTGGATTAATCTTGATTGGCAGTTTCCTCAAATAAATTGTGGATGTGGGAAGGAGAAACCCTGTTAGGTTGTAACATTGTACAAAGACTGCGTTGTACACAGCTGTGGCCACTGTGCCCTGAGCTACAGCTAATGGAGCCTGGATTCTGGACTTGGTGGAGGGCCCCTTTCCAACCCCTCGTGTCAAAATCTGAATTCTCACTTATTTCAGTCACTTTAACCAAACTTCCTTGGTGTCACTCACTTTAACCAGGTTTCAGAAAACTCTGTGCCTCTAAGGCAGACAAACCTTAGGTTGTTATTCAAAGCCAAGAGTACTGTATTAAGTGGTAGAGCATGTTTTATGCCTGTTTTATTTATTTATTTATTTATTTATTTATTTATTTATTTATTTATTTATTTATTTATTTTTGGTACCAGGGATCAAACTCGGGTCCTTGCACTTGCGCAGCAGGTGGCGAAACCACTGAGCTAAATCCCTGGCTAGAACATGTTTTAGATAACAGGGATTGGAGTACATCTTTGAGGTTAGGCCTCCGTGTGTGAAACAGTCTGCCCTGGGATTGGATGTAACAGGTGTGGGCTGGTGGGGGCCTCAAGGCAGTCCTCTTGCCCTTTTGAAATGGATCCTGTGCTTTCTATGGAGGCTCCCAAATAAGGGTAATTTAGATAGGCCTTTGTGATAGATCTTTACTACTAAAATGGTTTTTTTAGCAGTATTTACCCAGTGAAATTACAATAAGTATAATCATTAAAGACATAGTGTGTAAGCTGTGGTAGTGCACACCTGTAACTCCAACACTTTGGGAGGCTGAGGCAGGAGGACTGCAATTCAAGCCCAGCCTGAGCAATTTACAGACTTAATGAGATCCTATCTCAAAATAAAAAAGAGGGGCTGGGGATTTAGCTCAGTGGTTCCGCTGCCTGCCTCGCAAGTGCAAGGTCCCAAGTTCGATTCCCGGTACCTAAAAAAAGGGCTGGGGATGTAGCTCAGTGTGAAGACTCTGAGTTCAGTTCTGGCTACCACCAAAACAAATAAACAAAAAACCCCATAATAATAATAAAGGACTAAGGCTTTGTGGTTCAAATTATCTTTGCATTATAAATGTTTTTTCTTCCTGTTCTTTGCTACTGCCTAGTGTTCAACCCCTTGTACACAGTGCTTTTCATACCCTATTTTATCATCTTTTTGGTTTTTGAGACAAAGTCTCACTGTGTAGCCCAGGCTGGTCTTTAACTCTAGTCCTGCCTCAGCACCCCCTAAGTATGGGATAATAGGCGTGTGCTGTCACACCTGGCTGGCTTATAGGTTTCTTTAGGCAGGCTGCCCTCAAACTCATGGCAGTCCTCCTGCTTAGCCTCCCAAGTGCTGGGATCGTAGGTGTGCGCCACCACACCTGGCTATTTTATTGACTTTTAAGAGGTTGGACTAATCCACTGTTTCACGAAGGCTGGGCCATGGACCATAGCACATACACCACTTGGTACTAAAAACTCAAGGAATTCATATGCTAGAATAAGGCTTGAGGCTGTTTTGGTGCACACTCAAGTTTTTTTTCTTTATCTTTTAGTCTTAACAGCCCTGAGCTTTAAATGCCTTCAGTTATCAGCTCTTCTTTTTTTCCATTTTGCAAAACATTTATTGGTACACTATTTGTTTTTTGTTTTTTGCTTTATTGTTTTTTCTGGTACCGAAATCAAACTCAGGACCTTGAGCTTGTGAGGCAGGCGTGGTGCCACTGAGCTAAATCCTCGGCTCTATTGGTACGCTTTAGATGTACATAATGATAACACTCATCATAAGGAATTTGCACCTGTACATGATATATCCTGCTTCTTTTTTTCCCATTCCCTTTTCCCCTCAAGTCCCCCTCCCGTCCCTTTTTGCAGATGCTTTGTTTCCATTTTCTTCTTCTATTTGTACTTTTTTTCTTGTCTCTTCTTTTCTCCCTCCCCTTTCTCTTCTTGTTCCCCTTCCCATTTGGGTTTGTTTGTTTATTGGTACCAGGAATTGAACTGAGGACCTTGCACTTGCCAGGCATGTGGCAAGCACGGTGTTTTTCTTTATTTTTAATGCAGGTATTCAGAGTTAGAGTTAACCAGAGGGTGGAATATTGTACTATTTTTTCCAGGTGCCTCTATTTTAGTACTCCATCTTCACCAAAACTTTGGCCATGGCTGTTTCCTCTCCATTCCAGATAAACCCAGTTGACAGAGGCCATAGGGGCTTGCCTGAGTTAATGTTGTCAACTGTTGGCCTAGCATACAAATTTAAAGATCCTTTCTTTCTATTTATTTATTTTTTTTGGTACTGAGGATTGAACTTGGGACCCTGAGCACCACTGAGCTAAATCCCCCGCCCACCTTCTTTTTATTTCTGAGTGAGTAGTAGTTAAACCATGTTGGGCCCACCCTGTAGGTACAGTGCATATCAACCACAAAGACAGGGAGAGAGGGAAATAGAGGAAAGGTCTTTTTGTGTGCATGTTGGTGCTAGCGATGGAACCCAGGGCCTCATGCGTATTTGGCAAGTGCTGTACCACAGAGCCACAGCCCAGCCTCTGAAGGTTCTTGACAATGGTGTGCGTTTGCCACCTCTTTCTTAGATATTCTTTTTTCTTCATTTCCTTTAGGCTGACTTTGAATTCACTATGTAATCAAGGTTGGCCTCAAACTTGTGGCAATCCTCCTGCCTCAGCCTCCCAAGTGCTGGGATCACAGTCGTGCACCACCACTCCTGACTCTTTCCTGGATTTTCAACCCTACATTAGCAAGAGGCTAAATCAGTGATTTTCTTGCTGAAGTGATTTGCCTGGGAATTGATCTAACAATGTGTGTTATTTCTAAATTTCTTTACAACACAGAAGAAATGGTGAAGGAATATGGAAGTTCTGGGGGACCCAGGTCCTGTTCTTACTTGGAATCAGTGTCCATGATTCTATGTGAGTCACCTTTAAGCATCCACTGGTTTCCCTTTGGTTGCACCCTAGCAGATGGGTGCTCTCCGGGGCTTGTGTCTCAGGCCTTTTGCTTAAAGGAGCACTTGTGTGCTCCTGCTTCTCGGTTCTCTATCTGTTTCCCATTGTCGTTTGAACTCTGATTTTATTCTAGAAACTACTCATCAGATACTTCTGTGTGGAGGCCTCCTCACATTTCCGGAATTGTGCTGTATAGCCCAAGAGTTCCATTAGCTGCTTCTTCCTTGCCTCCTTGGAGTTTGGCTGAACCTCTAGACCTAGTGGGCCCTAACCCCAAATTGCTCAGTCCTCCCTGCCTGAGCTCATCATAGCAACTGGTTTATGAATAATCCTCTGGATTTTTATGTTTCCCCACTTTATTTCACTAGATTATTGCCAATATCTTTTAAAAGGCAAGTCTGATCAATCTTTTGTTTTAAGGTTTTGGAATAAAGTCCAAGCCTGTCTTTGTGTCGTAACTGGGTTTCTCCAACCTGCCTCGGTATTCTTGTCAGCTTTGTAGTATTTTCTCCCCTTGCTTTCCCCCCTGATTTTCTGTTCTTCTGCTTTCTCACGTCCACTTTCTGCCCTTCTAAGGTTATCTTACTCCTCCGTTCTGTTCTCTTGCTATTCCTGACCCCTGGTGTCTGTTTCCTCACGCCCTGTGGCCTGTCCTAGCCAGCTGGTCTATTCAGCTTCAACCCCAGCACACACCTCCCCTCCAGGTAGGGTGAAGCCATAGTGGCCATGGCTCCTGGAGCGTGGACACAAGTACAGAATGTGTGGGGTGTTACAGTAGTCCTTCCACTTGTTCGGTGCCATCATCCCCAGAGCAGGCATTTCTCAGTCTGTTAAACAGCCCTGGGAAAGGTAGAGTCTGGCACCGTAGTGAGAACTTGGGAAGTAGTTTTTGTTTTTGTTTCATTTTGGTGGTTAGAGATGATTGCAGATATAAGATCTCCAGATATTTCCTCCAAATCTCAGAGAAGAAGGCTGGAAATCTTCAAAAGCAGATTGTTGGCTGATAGCTTTAGGACCTGATGTAACATCCCACATGTCAGAAGATCCCCCTTTTCCCAGTGAAAGTTACTTCTCACAACGTAGACACACTGTGTTTTGTTCTCACAAGAGAACTGGTAAGTAACTCAGACCCTTTTCATTTTCATAAATTTCTGTTCCCATTTTTCCATGACCTGGTATATGAGCTGGGGGTCTGGTGATGGTGGGTGGTGGCAGCCTGTGTTTATGCCTGCCTGGGAGGTGGGTGGACTGGTAAGTATCTGAACATTTTCTATTTGTATAATGGACAGAAGGAAATCAACAGATATGAGAAAGGAGAGAATAATAAAAGACATGACTCTTTTTCCCCCACTACAAAGGGTTAAACCTGGCCCCTTCACTTTGAGCTACCTCCTCATCGTTTTTTTTTTTTTGGCACCGGGGATCAAACTCAGGACCTTGTGCTTGCGAGGCAGGCGCTGGAACCACTGAGCTAAATCCCTAGCCCTCCTCATCATTTTTTATTATTTTTATTTTGAGCCGTTTCTCAAAGTTGTCAAGTTCTGCAGGATGGGCTTGAACTTTGATCTTCCTACCTTAGCCTCCCACAGTACTGAGATTACAGGCATGCACCACCACAGCCAGCTCAGAAATGGAAGAAAAGAAAAGAAATGGCTTTTAAACAGATGTGAAAGTCTTGTTTGCCAGTGTGTTTGGCTGAAAGGGAAGGTGTCAGATACTCCCTGAAGCTAGCACAGTCTCAGGGGTTTCCTTAGGCGTACACGTAGACTAGGCTGTAATGTTCATCAGACTTCTGCAGCAAGAAGACCTCAAAGCCATCTCCCCAGGACTCACATTGTACCTGTTCTGCATGTTGTACTCTTTCCCTGTTTGTCATTTTGGGTGCAGCGTGGCTTGGCTATGCTGCTATCCCTGCCACGCTGTCTAGTGATAAGCAATTCACATACTATAAAAGGTACACTTTTTTTTTTGTACCAGGGATTGAACTCCAGTCTTTGGGGTTGCGCAGTAGGCAGTGAAACCACTGAGCTAAACCCCCGGCCCAAAAGGTACACTTTTTCACAATTCAGTGGTTTCCAGGTAGATTCACATAGTTCTGTAGCCATTAGCATTAATTCTAAGACATTTTCATCACCCCAAAAAGAAACCCTATGCCCATTAGCAACCATTTCCTTCTTCTCAACCCCCATTCTTAGACAACTGCTTATGTTCTTTGTATACCTTTACCTGTTGTCAACATTACATATAAAAGTCATATAATATGTTGTAATTGCTTTTGCTGCTAGAAGCATAAACATAAAAAGAGATGGGTCCGTGCCATGCCTTTCCCCTAACATTTTTCCCACCATCTCTTTTTCCCTTCACTGTTGCAGAGCCTGATGTTTCTGTCTTCCATTCCACTCCCAGGTAGGGCTAGCAGTACTGCTACAGAAGATGAGCATTTCCATAGCTATAGCTATGGCTATGTCTCTGGGGGCTGCTGAGTTCACTGGTTCTTCCATGGCATGATGAATACAGATAGCTGGCTGTCATGGTACATACTTGTAATCCTAATGCTCTTGGAGGCTGAGGCAGGAAGATAACAAGTTCAAGCCTAGCTTGGCCTATTTGGTGAGTCCCTGTTTCAAAATACAAAAAGGCCAGGCCTGGTGGCGCTTGCCTATAATCCCAGCACTAGGAAGCTAAGGCAGGAGGATTGCTGTGAGTTTGAGCCCAACCTGAGATATATAGTGAGTTCACGGCCAGCCTGCACTACACAGCAATACCTTGTCTCAGAGAAACCAAAACAAAATTTTAACAAGTTAAAGGGCTGGGGGCGGAGCTCAGTGCAAAGGCCTTGAGTTCAGTCTGAGAACTGGAAAAACAAACATATCACTCACTTGGCCTGCATAAAGTTCCTTCGGGTGAGGGAGTAGACACAAATTGAGACTGTACCTAGTGATGAACAGAGTGAATCGGTGATGTGAGACCCGGTGATGTGAGACCCTTGGCATATCGCACTGAGCCTTGTCCCAGGGGCTTTGAACCTTAAGGAGAGGGGAGCAGAGCGTTGCTGCTCATTTCTGCACACAGCAGCGTTGGAGGAATGGGTGAGTGACTGCTTGATGTGTATACAGGTGGGCGAGTGGCTGCCTGCTTCTCTCTCTCCTGTCTCTGGCTGACATTCCCACCTCCATTTTGAACTCCTCTTTTCCTGAGCTCCAAGGAAAGCCCCCTGCTCTTCTTACCCATAGCGTGTAGCATTTGAAACAGCGCTGAGCTGGTAAGTGTGTGCCAGGCTTCACTGGAGGAAGGAAGAGGTCAGTGCAGAGCTCCAGCTACAGGATCTCTCCACGGCATTCAACCTGCTGGAGAATTTGCTGCATCTGGCAGTGCATCTCAAGCCTCATCCCTCGCCCCCTTGTAAGATGCCGTAAAAATGACTTAGTAAAAAAAAAGTGTGAGCTTAGATTTCATGTTTATGATTAGATTGAACGTGCCTAAAGTGGCTCAAACCAATTTCTGTGACCATTTCCTGAGTGCTAGTTTGAAGACTACCTTGCTCCTCAGATACCACTCCAGGGGAACCTGCTGGCTACTGAATTGGCAGGTAGGGGAAAGGGGTCAGGAGCAGGCGGACTTAAGAAATCAAGGAGGACTTGGAGAGCAAAAGAACAAACAAGGACTGTTGTCTTGTTTTCCAAGTCTCCACTGGTTTGGGCTCTGTTGGAGGCCACATATATTAACTGTGCTTTTGCTTTTGCACGAAATGGCAACATAGAAATGTTGAAAATGGCACACAGATCCAGAGGGAAGGGACAAGCCAGGAGCAGTTGGCAGCATAATACAAACTAATAAGCCCCTGCCTATTCTAGAAAGAACTCTTCACTTCCTTGTCATTGAAACATACCCGAGCACCACTGGGGTTCTGTGTTCTCTCTCTCCTAAGAATAGAAATATGATGAAAAATTAGCAACATTTTAGTAAAATGCTTCTAAAACTGGTAATTAAAGTTGGGGGCAGGTTGTAAGGTGTGGCACCCATTGTTTGGATAGTCAAAGAGCTTTTGTCAGCATGGCCTGGTTTCTGTTGAAACATTAAGTTTTTTAATCTGATGTGGTGATGCGTGTCTGTAATCTCAACAATACAGAGGCAGGAGGCTGAAGCAGGAGGATCTCTGTGAGTTCAAGGCCAGCCTGGGCTACATAGTTCAAGACCAGCCTGACCTACAAAGCGAGACCTTGTCTCAAAACAAAACAAAAAAAACTTTAGTTTGTGTTAGATTCTGCAAAAGTGATGTGAAAACGGCCACTGTGGGTGTTCAGTTATGGGAGATTTAGAAATTTATTGTTTTGAGATTTAGGAATTTTAGAAGTAGAGGAGCTTTCGTAGATTCAGCATTCTTTTTTTTCTTATTTTTTTTGAGACAAGGTCTCACTGTGTACCCCAAGCTGGCCTCAAACTCATGGTGCTCCTCTGGCCTTGGCCTCCCAAATGCTGGGATTATAGCCATGTGCCACTGCACCTGGCCCAACCTTCTTAAGAATCATAAAAAATTATTCAGAAGATAGAGGTGGAAAACCTTGATTTTTCCATTGAAGAAAATTAGTGGGGGGTTTTTGTGGGGTTTTTTGGTACTGGAGATTGAACTTGGGTCCTTGTGCTTGTGCAGCAGGTGGTGAAACCACTGAGCTAAATCCCCAGCCTGAAAACTAGTATTTCTATGATTACCTAACAAATCCTGGAAGATTTAGCCAGGCATGGTAGTGCAGGCTATAATCCCAGTACTCAGAAGGTTGAGGTAGAATTACCCCAAGTTTGAACTACATAGTGAGACCCTGTCTCCAAAAAAAAAAAAACCTGGAAGATTTGAATATGATAATGTGTTAAGGAACAAATACTAAAAGTAAAACTAACCGTGCTAGTTCTTTTTGGAATTTAAATTGTTAATGGTTTAGATAAATGTTAAGAGTAAGATCTCCAAACAGTGGCAGAAAGACTGAAATTAATGATACCTTCTGAATGTAGACATTAGTAGTCCAAGACTCCCACTGGGTTCGTGGCAGAGATAAGAGTGAAGATATTAAAATAGTATTACAGGTTTGATGTAATAGGACTGAAGGAATTTGTGGATTTCACAATAATTACAGTTGTTGAAGGAATCCAACTGATAGTCTTGGAGCAATAGCAATGCATTAGATAATTTAGGGAAAAACAAAACCCTAGGGTAATGGTAGAAGTTTTCAGAGGCAAAGCTTTGTTTTGGTGGAGGGATATAATTCAAGAGCACTAGGGTTATGTTTGAGTCAGCCACATTCAGAGGCCAGTATTTTAGTCAGTTCTTAATGTGGTCTTGGGAATCAAGTGCTTCTCTTATAATAGTGACTGGAAAGAAACCTACCCTTGTCTTTGTGTACTCAGAAGAGTCCTGACGTCTGTCTGTAGTCAGTTGTTAACTATGGTTAAATATTATTAAAACTTGATCTTGCTTTGGGAGCAAGATCGTGTGAGTTCCTCTAAGAATTCTCACACTAGTCAAGGAGAAAGTGACATTGTCAGTTTCTTAGTTAAAACTAGGATACCCTAATCTGAATGGTGACTTGACTTTGACATTTAATGGAAAGAGTGGTCATGTTGAGGGAGGATAGGAAACTATGGTAAATTAACTAGAAATAGTGAATGAAGTAGAATTTTTTTTTTCTCCTACTTTCTCAGAAGTTGAGGTCTTTAAAGAAAAGAGAACTCCCTCTGGAGTGCAATAAGGATATATGACCTAGGCCGGGGATTTAGCTCAGTGGTTTCGCTGCGCAAGTGCAAAGACCCAATCCCTGGTACAAAACAAAACAAAAAAAATATATAACGTGTCATTTTATCCCGCACAGCTCAAAGAAGATGAACGGCACCCTGGACCACCCAGACCAACCGGATCTTGATGCTATCAAGATGTTTGTGGGCCAGGTTCCCAGGACCTGGTCTGAGAAGGACTTGAGAGAACTCTTCGAACAGTATGGTGCTGTCTATGAAATCAACGTCCTAAGGGATAGGAGCCAAAACCCTCCTCAGAGCAAAGGTGAGGTCTTTGGGTTTGTGACAGGGTTCAAAGAATGATCTGTCATTCCCACCAGGTGCATTCTGTCCCTTATTGCCAGGGTGCTCCTGTGGTCACATAGGGAAAAAAAAAATCTGTCCTTTTGTAGGAGTTGTATTTTCCAAACCAAACATACTTAATGGCTTAGAAATTAAACATTAAGATTACATTATAAGGATAACTTGTAAATTAGATCTGGGCAGTCTTCTGTGAGAGTTCCAGGTTCCAGAGACAGACCCATGGGAGCATCTCCATTGGTCTTGGAATGAAGTGGCAAAACTAAAATTGAAGTCAACCAGCCTCAGATGGCTTTCTTTAGGTTTTTGACTAAAGTAAGGGCCTAGAGACTGGACTGAGTTACAGAGCCCTCACGTGATGCAGTATCTGCTAGGAGGGACTTAGACAACTTTTTTTGCCATAATCTGCACAAATGAACAGGAAAGGAAAGGCTAAGCTACTTCCAGAAATAGCAGCAGAGTGGACATTCTGTAGGGGTGATAGTAGATCTGCATATACCCAGAGACATGCGCTCATCTTCCTGTGACCAATTTTAGAGCAACTTTCTGTGGAAGCTGTTCTGTGGTGCAAATGTGAGCAAGCTTGATTCTCACATTTGAAACAGCTTAGGATCTAGAAGCATGGGAATTATTTTATCTTTCTGGTGTAGTTAACCAAAAACATAAAGTACCATTGTTTTCAGAGTACTGGCTTGATTTTGTATAATCTGGTTTATTTCAGGGTGCTGTTTTGTTACATTTTACACCCGTAAAGCTGCATTAGAAGCACAGAATGCTCTTCACAACATGAAAGTCCTCCCTGGGGTAAGAAGGCTCCTAGTGAACAGAACTGTGTGGTTGTGATGCATGGGCTGTCCTTGCACGTATCAGGCACACGCTGGAAGCCGTCTTGGGGAGAGGAAGCCGCCTCAGGAATTGATGGAAAGGACAATGGAAAGAAGATAGGCTTAAAGCAAATCTCTCTGCCAAGAGCCTTGGCTTCTTGACTCACATTCTGTCTGTTGTGTTTTGTGGGGAGCATTCATGAGGCGGACATGAGTGCAGAGAATCTTCTAGGGCTTTAGTTAGGTGTCTTTCAGAGTCTTCATTTCTGGTTTGAATGCAATCCCTGTACATGAAGGTAATGTTCCTGGTTTTTCCTTTTCAGATGCATCATCCTATACAGATGAAACCTGCTGACAGCGAGAAGAACAATGGTAAGCAGACAGATGTCTTCCCCTTAGAAGATTTCTTCTTAGTTTGCTTGCTCTTTATGTTACCTGGATTCAACCATTCTGTAAGAAATCTGTCATCTGCAGGGGTTTTTTGCTTTGTTTTTTTGGGGGGGTACTGGGGATCAAATTCAGAACCTTGTGCTTTCGAGGCAGGCAAGGTGCCTCTGAGCTAAATCCCTGGCCCTATAGTTTTTTGTTTTTAATAAGTACAAAGCATCAGTGATAAAAATCAAGTGGACAAGGAAACATTATAAAACCATTCTAGAATGAACTGGAATGTCCTTGGAAAGTGTAATTTCTCATTTCTCATGGGCAGAAATGAGGGGGAGATGAACAAATCGGGAAGGAGAGTTTAGCCTCCAGAAAATCATTGCCTGAGCTCATGCTCAACAAGGACAAGGCCACAGTCAGCTCAAGCACTGCAGTCATGAAGCCCAACAGTGCAGAACAGGGCAGATCTGGAGCTGAAGGTGAGCTCAGACTTCCAGGCTTAGTGACAGGAGCTGTGAGGACATCAAAGTTGGTAGTGGGTAGAGGTCTATGATTAGCTTTGTTCCAGCCCCTCAGCTGTATCTCCCCTGATCCCAGATCTGCTCAGTCTTTCTTTAGAAGAGAATCTGGTGTAAGCCAACTTGAAAAAACTATATGAGAAGCAGAGATGTCTCCCAGGAGCACACTGACACCTGCATAGTGTGCTGTTGAAGATGTGGGTGCCCAGGGGAAAATGTGAGCAAGAGAATCCACGTGAAACTGGATGGTAGTGGCTCTTTGAGGTTCATCTGGACAAAGCACAGAAGAACGATGTGCAACATGAGCTGAAAGTTTTTACTGTGTCACAGAAGCCAGGATGTTAATTTTGAATTCCTGGAGTTTCAGTTGGAAACAAAAATCAACTAAAGTATCATTCAAAGTAGAAGGAAAGAGAAGAAAGAATGTAGATAGTTCTCACTGAAAAGTGTCTTCTGTAGTTTTGATCACAACAAGTTTGAAAACCTCTTCTTTCATAGTATTGCTAGAAGGAGCAAACGTACTAGGTTCTAGGCAAGATGTGAAGTATTTTGCATTTAATACCTACAATTGCCCTTAGAGGCAAACCTGGCTATCTTTATTAATCATGTGAGAAAGCCAGTACACATGAGTTAAGTAAATTTGACAAGAGCCCAAAGCCTCCATATTTCATCTAAATACTTCCAATTATATGTAATTTTAAGATAGCACTTGTTACAAGAGGAGATGTGAAGTTACACAGAAAAGGGGTGTCTTAAAATCTAAAATTAGGGTATGAGGCAGACCCAGGATCCCCACCCCAGGTAGCCTGGCTCCTGACTCTACGCTGCACTGCCCTTTAGTAGCAGTGTTTAAGCATTTTGTGTTTTACTCTCTTAGCAGTGGAAGACAGGAAGCTGTTTATTGGTATGATTTCCAAGAAGTGCACTGAAAATGACATCCGAGTCATGTTCTCTTCATTTGGACAGATTGAAGAGTGCCGGATATTGCGGGGACCTGATGGCCTGAGCCGAGGTGGTACATTTCTAGCTTTAAAGATGATTGTCTTCAGTGTAGTTTGTTTAATTGGACCGCTGGAAATCCGATCTCTAGCCACACCTCCCCACCCCACCCTGCCTCAATACCCCTGTCATGGTGAGGTAGTTGGGCCTGTGGCTTCCTGCTAGACACCAGCTTCTGACCACTGATGTTCTGGGAGTCTGTCACCCGCCATGCTGAGAGTCACACTTGGTAGGGAGCACACAGGTGAAAGGGAAAATCACTTATCTTGAGAGTGCAGGCACTTGACCGTGAGAGTCCAGCAGCTTACCTGATAATGAATTGCCTTAAGTCTTAGCCACTCTATTTTAAGGTGAGAGCCCAATGCTTTCTTTAAAAGTAACATACTAAGGGCCGGGGATTTAGCTCAGTGGTTCCGGCGCCTGCCTCGAAAGTGCAAGTCCCGAGTTTGATCCCTGGTACCAAAAAATTAAATTAAATTAACATACTAAGCCAGGGATTTAGCTCAGTGGTGCCGCTGCCTGCCTCACGAGTACAAGGACCCGAGTTTGATCCCTGATACCAAAAAGAAACTTTGGGCTGGGGATTTAGCTCAGTAGTTCCAGCGCCTGCCTTGCAAGCACAAGGTCCTGAGTTTGATCTCCGGCACCAAAACAAATAAATAAATAAAATAAAATTAACATACCGGACCTCAGTGTAGTAGTGTGTGCCTGTGGTCTCATCTCTTCGGTGTCATGTATTAAAATGTTTTCTGTGTGCTTAGAGAGGATCATAATCCCAGGTGGAAGCATTTCTTCCTCCCTCCCATTTTCTTTTCTTTTTTGTAAAGGAATGTGAGGATATGATTCCTTCTTCCTCCCTCAAGCACTTTCTGTCCTTGTGTGGTTTCCTGGTTTTTCATTCTAGTACTTATTACCCTGCTGTGACATGCCTATCCCCTCTGCCAGCTCATCAGCCCCTGAGACTGGGGACCACATGGGTGCCATTGACATGGTAGTGGCATGAAATAGTTGCTCAAATCAGTGTGTGTCAGATAAACCATATTTTCCCAAAAATAAGACCAGGTCTTATATTAATTTTTGTTCCAAAAGATCCAATGGGGCTTATTTTTGGGGGATGTCTTTTTTTTTTTCCCTCATGTAGAACAATCCATATTTATTTATGTACAGAAGTCTACATTTATTTAAATACAGTCATATCTTCTGGAACATCATAACTCTCTAAACCCTGAATTCTGTCCTGAATGTTTTGCAACTCCATTTCCTATAGAACCAGTAGCCCTAGTCTCTCCTGTGTTGCCATAGAACTCTCCTTAAATGATTTCTTGTCCACGTAGCCTGCTTGTAGGGCTCTGGGAACACAGCTGTCGGTGATTTTACCCCATGAATTCTTCACTCAAGTCATGACCTCTTGCAGGTTGGGCTGTACAATGTTTCCATTAAATCTAGTGTTAATTGAAGACTTAGGAGACAGGAGTGGCAACAAAAATGATGACAGTTAAGAATAATGGGCCACACAAAAACAACAAAAAATTACAGGCACCAAAATTCGGAAAACATTTATTTCACATAATTTCATTAAGTATGTCCGTTATAACACATGATGATTGAGTTATGAGGATTTCTATTAGACACAGTGACATCTGTCCATTATCGAGTGCACATGCTATTCAGGTGTTGTATCTGTACTCTGGTCATTTGGCAATAAGTCTTGGTTGAGTTCATCTGTTTAAATAGGCTTTCACCTCTTGCCCAAAGGCACCCCCTTGGGTATTTACAAATACTTAGATCATTTATTTAAAATATTAATGTCAATATTTATATTTAATGTTATATTAGTAATATTTTATAATTGAACATGTCCGTCATGTGTTGCAGTGGTTATACCAAGTGCATCTGGCTGCTGGTGATCAATTTGCGGGGGGAAGATAGGGTCTCACTGTGTAGCTCAGGCGAGTCTTGAACTCACTAGGAAGCCCAGGTGAGCCTCGAACTTGCAGTGATCTTCCTCCCTCTGAGCTAAATCCGCTCCCTCAGCCTCCCAAGTGTTGGAATTAGAGGCGTGCACCACCACACCCAGCCATGGCTGACATCTTAATGGGGCTTATTTTGGGGGTAAAGCTTCTATTATAAGCATCCTGAAAAATCATGCTAGGACTTATTTTCCATTAGGTCTTATTTTGGGAGAAATACAGTACAAGCAAATGAATGGATCTTCTCTTACCAGGTTGTGCATTTGTGACTTTTACAACAAGAGCCATGGCACAGACAGCTATCAAGGCAATGCACCAAGCACAGACCATGGAGGTAGGGAGCGCACAGGTGAAAGGGGAAATCACTTATCTTGAGAGTGCAGACAGTTGGCCATGAGAGTCCAGCAGCTTACCTAATAATGAATTGCCTTAAGCCTTGCCTGTCTATCTTAAGGTGAGAAACCCAATTCTTTCTTTAAAATTAACATACTGGACCTCAGTGTAGTACTGTTTGCCTGTGGTCCCATCTCTTCAGGAGACTGAGGCACAAGTGTCATTTGTCCTCACTCCCAGGAGTTTGAAGCCACCCTGGGTAACATAGGCAGACACCACCTCAAAAAATAAATCCATAAATAAATAAAACTAACATACTGGTGGGCTGGGGATTTAGCTCAGTGGCACAGCACCTGCCTCACAAGCGCAAGGTCCTGAGTTTGATCCCCAGTAACAACAACAACAGAAAATTAACATACTGGAAATAGTTGCTACTTTTTTTCTTATTTTTTTGGTACAGGGATCGAACCTGGGACCTTGTGCTTGCGAGGCAGGCACTGGAACCACTAAGCTAAATCCCTGACCCTAGTTGCTACTTTAAATTGTCTTTTGTCACATGTTTATCAGGAGGAGGGACCTTTGCCAATGTGTGAAATCAAAATATGGCTGCATGTTATCAAAAAGAGATTTCTGGGCCAGGGATTTAGCTCAGTGGTTCCGGCTCCTGCCTTGCAAGTGCAGAGTCCCAAGTTCGATCCCTGGTACCAAAAAAAAGAGATTCTTTTCTTTACCCCAAAGGAAGGATTTGATCCCTTAGTTTTGGTTTCTGCTAGGGCTGCTCATCCCCCATGGTGGTGAAGTTTGCTGATACGCAGAAGGACAAAGAGCAGAAGAGAATGGCCCAGCAGCTCCAGCAGCAGATGCAGCAGATCAGCGCGGCATCCGTGTGGGGGAACCTTGCTGGGCTGAACACTCTCGGACCGCAGTACTTAGCAGTGAGTCTTCGTGCTGTGCTTTCTGCGGGCTGTGCAAGCTCCCAGCTGTTTCTTCCTCTCCTGTCCCTCGCTGACAGACACAGTGGCATTTACAGCTTCTCAAATGCAGAGATCCTGTGCAAAGATTCAGGCACTGTGGTGTCCTTAAAGTCACGTTTGTCTGTCTGCCTTCCTCACTCTCCTGTCCTGTTTCTTCAGCTCTGTCTTAGGGTTTTGCTACAGTTTTAAAGTGAAATCTTGATTATTTCATTTAAAGATTCAAAAATGCCTCATATTTCCCTGACTCCGAGAGATAAATCCCTGAGGGGATCTTAACTACCAAGCATCATTCTCCATGTCTCTTTCACCAGAGGCAAAGTGCAGCATCAAGATCCAGCATAAGATGTTAAAACTATCTGTTTTGTTTCATTTGCTTTTTGAGACAGGGTCTCACTATATAGTTCAGACTGGCCTGGAACTCACTACATAGCCCACGCTGGCCTCAAACTTGCCTCACGAGTGCTAGGATTACAGGTGTTCGCCACCATGCCGGACAAAGCTCTTCTCCTTTAGGGAGGAGATGGAGGTGCCACGTCCAGTGTGCACAGTCCACCAGTTGGGACTGAACACTTTGCCTGAGGTATTTAAGAAGACACAAGTGATGACATATGGATGCTGTTGGACTCTGTATGTGATGATACATCATCGTTCATTATGAGACTCTTTGGACATGTGGATTCGAACCACCTGAGTGCTAATGGACTAGGGCAGTGGTTCTTTGTGGGGTTGTGGACCCCTTTAGAAGTAAGAAAGAGCAGTGACATGGTAGCACATGTCTGTAATCCCAGCTACTTGGAAGGCCAAAGCAGGAGGATTGTGAGTTTGCGGTCACCCTGGGTAATGTAGTGAGACCCTGCCCAAAAGAAAAATGGAGAAGAAAACACAGAATTGGTAAAAAGTATTTGCATTGTTTTCATTCATTGTCCTTCTGACGGTTAGCTTGAAACCTGCCTGTGACCTCTGCCCTAGAGGGATTCAGGACCCACATCATATGTCTATAGCAATGGGAATGGGGTTTAATAAGGATCTGGTAGAAGACTGGTTTTCCATAAGGAACAGCAGTTGAGTGTGAATGGAGCAAAGGTTTTCATTAAGTTAATTGGGTGAAGGCTGTGACTTGCCAAGTCACAGAGTAAGGTTAGAGAGTCCCTAAGCTCATGGACAGACCTGATTTTACTCATGACAGGGACAGTCACCAAAAGAGAACATATGCCAGAGCTGGTGTGGACTGAGCTGTCCATCATTTCGTCATCTGAAGCAATGAAGACCAGTTTAGGGGAAAGGAGATAAATAGAGCTAGATAGATGGGGTGCTTGGGAACAGCTGATGAGTCATGAGTGCATTGTGACTTGTCAGAGGTAACACCAAGAAGTACTGTGAAATGGTCAGGTGTGACATTTAAAATAACTGTGTGGAGTAGAATCTGGGTATCCAGATGGGCACTGTTTGCAGAATAAGATGTGTTGGCCTAAGTAAGGAGAACTTGGGAGAGGGACTACAAATGTAGTTGTCCGTACACTGGCACTGATGGCAGTCGACTGTGTGCTGTGTGAGTTCAGCTTGTGCCCGTACTGTGCACTGCACGGGGACTGGGCAGCTCAGTATCCGTTGAACATGCTCTCTTCTGGCCTTGTGCTTTTGCTGTGTTGTTCTGTCCTGCGCTGTCACAGGGCTTATGCTTTTGTTGTGTCAGCTTGGGGTCTTGTCTTGGACTTTTCCTCTCTGGGGGCCTCTGCACTTTCGCTTTGCTGTGCTGTAGAGTTATACCAGATGCAGAACCAGCCCTCACTCTCACTCTTGTTCTGTTTTTTGGTGTAATGTCTAGCTTTATTTGCAGCTCCTTCAGCAGACTGCCTCCTCTGGGAACCTCAACACCCTGAGCAGCCTCCACCCGATGGGAGGTAAGTTTCTGCCGCCGCCTCAGAGGAGCAGCAGTGCCCAGGCCAGCAGACCCAGGTGCCAGCAGACTGAGAGTCTTGCAGTGTTTGTGCAAAACTGAACGAACAAACAAAAACAAACGCTCAGATGACCATCCCAGGGCTCAACTGTCTTGTCTCTGTAAGGTAGATCTGTTGCTAATTGGTGTCACATTGCTCCGAGGGGTGCTTCTGCCCGCCACCCTCCTAAGTCACTGTTCAGGAAGAAGATGGAAAAGAACTGTTAACACATAGGAGTTAACAGAGGTCATTCTGATGAGTAGGAAGTACAGGAGCTCTCCAGCCAAGGATGGCCCCATGCAGGTAGCTTCTCCACTAGGACCCAGGCAATGAGCGCACTCTGTGTCTCACACGTGCCGTTTCACAGGCCCTGTGTCTGGATTTACAGTGACCTGGGTCCATAGACAGTCCTAGCCAGGGGCCCACAGGTTGGTGGAGGTGAGAGAGCCCGTGCCTGCGTCTCCTGCACTAGGAAGTGAGGCACTTCATTTGAGAAAAGTGGGGTCTTCAGAGAACTTTGTTTTGCAGCGTGAAAATTTATAATAGTGGTTCACTTTGTCCTGGGGAGTTTAGTTTGTTATGGTTCGGGAAAGTTGCTAGATTGTGGTGGATGTGGTGTTTTTTTGTGGTTTGTTTGTTTTGTTTTTTGTTTTTTTGGTATCGGGGATCAAACTCTGGACCTTGCGCTTCGAGGCAGGAGGTGAAACCACTGAGCTAAATCCCTGGCCCGATGCGGTGTCCTTATTCTCACTTCTTAGCCCACTGCTGGCCCACAGTCTGCCTTTCTATTGCAGCGTCCATGGCACAATTTAGAGTTCTTCCTCCTCTGAACTGTGTTGTCTAGGTTCTGTTTGCAAGTTTTTCCCTAAATATTTTCCGCTCTTCCTTTGATGTTTAACCTCCTATTCAAGCACTGGTGTCTTTATTTTTTGTGGTATTGCTGTTCTCATCTGTACTGTCTCCTGTCGTTCCTCCTGGGTCTTGGCGGGGGCTCTTCTGCATTTTCTGCTTCTTTCCCTTCATTGCACAGAGCAAATCCCTGGAAAGTTGGAGTAAAGGGCTTGGACACAGTCCGATTCTGCACCTTAGCTTCAGGCATTGTTCCCTGGGGTTCCTGGCCTGCAGTAGGGCACAGACAGGCTCCTGCTTTGATTTCCTAACTGCTCACCCCATTACTAATGCTTACCTGAGGTGTGATGCTATCTCATCTGCTAACTCTTCTCTGAGAAATGATTTCCGATTTCTTTTCATTGATTGATTAATTAGTTTTGTGGATTAAACCCAGGACCTTCACCCTGAGCTACATCCCCAGCCCTTATTTTTTTTTTTAAGAGTAGGAAAAATTTATTGAGAGAAAGACAGCTTCTGTCTAAGAGAGATGAGAGATAGAAGGGGACCAGAAAATGGGTTGCCCCCGCCCCTTACTTCATTTTTGAAACAGGATCTCACTAAGTTGCCCAGGCTGACCTTTACCTGAAATCCTCCTTCCTCAGCCTCCCAGAGTGCTGTGATTATAGGCATGTGCCACCATGCCCAGTGATATCTATCATTTTTGGAGCCCTGTGATACTGCTCGTAAGGCTCATTTAGAACAGTTGCTTCTGCTGCCATCTCTGGAGTGGGTATTGACCACCCTTACCTACTGGCTGACTCTTGGTTTGGCTGTTGCAGGGCTCAATGCGATGCAGTTACAGAATTTGGCTGCACTGGCTGCTGCAGCTAGCGCAGCTCAAAACACACCCAGTGGTACCAATGCTCTCACTACATCCAGCAGTCCCCTCAGCGTCCTTACCAGTTCAGGTAAGTGTGGGACAGGCGGCTCCTCTCTGTGTCACGTTGTGAGGCAGGGCTGTGTTGTCTGGACAGGAACTAAAGCCTATATCCAGAGGGGTTGGGTTACCAACTGCAAGCTTTCAAATGTCATCCCTGACTTATGAGAAATCTCTTTTTTTTAATTATTTTTTTTTAGAAATCTCTTAATTTTTACTTTGTTACAATCATCACTGGTCCATCCTACAAGGACAGTTACTAGAGTAGACCTGTTTCCAGATGGAATCCCTGGCTAGAATCACTCTTAGGCATCAGTTCCTGTAACAGGAGAGGACAAGTGATACCTTGGTGGTTGATTTTTTTTTTTTTAATTTTAAATTCTATTTTATTAGTACATGTTTGGCATACATAATTATTACATTTATCATGGGGGTTTTGTACATTTACATGGCACATCTTAATTCTTTTTCCCTTTCCTCCCTGCTCGCTCCATCTCTTGTGCCCCTTCCCATTTGAAAAAGATATCCCTTCTTCCTATTATCTTTTATTTTGCTCTTAAAGGAAAACCATGCAATACTTAAATTTGTGTATTTGGTTTACTTCACTTAATACTGTGGTCTCAAGGTGCATCCATTTAGCTACAAATGCCTGGAGTTTATCCTTCTTTATGGCAGGGTAGTGCTCCACTGTATATAAACACTGCATTTTCCTTATCCATTCATCTGTTGATGGACATATAGGCTGTTTCCAAGGTTCAGCTATTATAGATGCCCTGAACGTAACTCCTGGATTTCTAATAGCAGGGTCCTCACCCAGCTCCAGCAGCAGTAACTCTGTCAACCCCATAGCCTCACTTGGAGCCCTGCAGACACTCGCTGGAGCAACGGCTGGCCTCAACGTCGGCTCTTTGGCAGGTAAGGGGAGGCCCTGGTTGTCACCAGACCATTCCTTGTATAAGTAGCATATCTTGGCCCACCCAGGTAGTGCTGCCATTAGAGTAATTACAGTGGTCCAGAAAAGTTAGAAATGCTAATGGGATTTCAAGTCAGTCCTGAGTCAGTCCCACTCTTCCCTTCCTTCAGAGAAGTAGCAGTGATAGAAAACCTTGGAAGGTTACTAGGGAGCTGAGAACATGGGCAAAGTGCTGATGAAAACACTGCTTAGTACAGTGCTTAGCCTGGTGCTTAGTACGTAACGTAGGGTACACACAGTGAATGTTTGTTGATTGTGGACTGAACCCACATCTTATTGGTCACATGTACCCGTTTTAGTCCTAAGTCCTATAACTCATATTTTACCTTATCCCACCTGTGTGTGAGAATGGGGCAGAATAGCCAAAGGAGGGGATGGAGCCAGGTGTGAGTGGTGTCGGTTCTTCCACCCTTTGGAGGGAGGTGACGGGGAGAGCAATACCTGCGGGTGGCATTTTCTTCTAAAGTCTGAAACTGACCAGGTTGAAGCTGAGAGGTGAAGGGTGAACTGTGGGGGATGCCTCTCAGTATATTCATCTTTAGGGCTGGGGATTTAGCTCAGTGGTTCCGCCACCTGCCTCGAAACCCCAAGGACCCGAGTTCGATCTCCGGTACCAAAAAAAAAAGATAGGCTGGTATACTCATCTTTGGTGTTAGTGGAGTCATTAATCCCGCTCTTCCTCAACCAAGGGATGGCTGCTTTAAATGGTGGCCTTGGCAGCAGTGGCCTTTCAAATGGCACCGGTAGCACCATGGAAGCCCTCACCCAGGCCTACTCTGGTATCCAGCAATACGCTGCGGCTGCACTCCCCACCCTGTACAACCAGAATCTGTTGACACAGCAGAGTATTGGTGCTGCTGGAAGCCAAAAGGAAGGTGAGTGCCAGGGAGCCAGGGGTTGGGGGAAGGGGGTGGTGGCTGTCAATCCTGTACCTGAGCTGGGAGGCAGGAAAGGCTGGGGGACCCTTTGAGAGGTACTCAGAGCTGTGTTGGGAGTAGACAAAGCCCTGGAAAGGGCGATGCTTTTAGACTGTGCGAAGGGCCAGTTTTTACACTGGCCATGCTGTGTCTGCCGTTATTAGACAGTAACCTGTTTTGTCAGGAACCCTTCTCTAGGTTATAGAGCTGCCAGGGGAACTTCTGTGATATTTTCCTCACCTTCTGACCAGTACCTGTCCTCATTGAGGAGAAAGAGGTGATGAGACAGAAAGAGAGCCAGTGGGTTGGTAGAGTGGGAAATAGGTCCTTTGACATAAGTGGAATTAAATTCAGGAGAAGCTTTCTAGACAAGGCCTGGCAGTGGTTTGTAGGAATAGAAAGACCTGTGGACGCCTGTGCAGTTAGATTTTACTGGTTTTCTATCACCTTGTGAGGTTTAAGCGCTAATGTAGGAAAGAGACAAATACCTTCTAGTCCCTCCTCGCCTGCCTGAGAATGCATGCTTCCCTGCCCTGGAGATGTGTCACTGGGGGCATCTCTCCTGAACCAACATTTGATTGAATTGGGTTGGATTTTTAAATTTTTTTAAATTTTATTTCATTTTGTTTCCGGTTTTTTGAGACAGGGTCTTCTTGCTGTGTAGGTCAGGCTGGGTTGGAACTGACTATGTAGCCCAGCCTGCCTGCTTTAGCCTCCCAAGGGCTGGGATTACAGGTGTCCCTGCTTCTGGCCCAGCAGCCCACCCTCTGGCCAGTAGAACCCTGACATCCTTGGAGCCTGGCTCGGCACAGTGGGCGCCATGTATGACGGTGATTGCTCCTTGGTCCCCTGCCTTGCACTTGGAGAATTTCTTTCCTTCCCTCAGAGATGCTGTGTGTTGACTGACAGTTTGCATGTAGGTGGGGATGAAAGGCCGTCAGCACAGGGTGGTGAGCATGCTGGCTCTGACATTTTCCGTCCATGAATATTTTGAAGGTCCAGAGGGAGCCAACCTGTTCATCTACCACCTCCCCCAGGAGTTCGGAGATCAGGACCTGCTGCAGATGTTTGTGCCCTTTGGGAATGTTGTGTCTGCCAAGGTTTTTATAGATAAGCAGACAAACCTGAGCAAGTGTTTCGGTATGTTGACTTCTCTTCTGGTGTTGGGTTCGATGAAGTAGTTTACTCCTGAGAGAAGAAGCAAGGGACTTGCTGTTGCCCATAGTAGAACCAGCTGGGGTTGGGATTGGGCTGTTGTTCAGCTCAGCCTTGGGCAGCTCAAGTGACCTTTTCCTGAGCCTCAGATTTTTCACGTCTGGAGAGGAGATGATGATGTCTGCCCACAGCTCTGCTCTGGAAGGAAAAATAATGTATGAAACATGTCTTGCAAAAAAAAAAAAAAGTGCTAGGTAGCCAGCAGGTGGTACTGTTAGGGATTAATATATTTCTCATATTTCCAAAGTTTTGTCCCTGAGAAAAATTGGGACTTAGGAGAGACTAACGCATCTATCTCTTGCATATAGAGGACTGAGATCTGCCTTGCTCATCCAGTCCTCACCTGGGTCTCTGCTTGGACACACAGGTTTCGTGAGTTATGACAATCCAGTTTCGGCTCAAGCTGCCATCCAGTCCATGAACGGCTTTCAGATTGGCATGAAGCGGCTCAAAGTGCAGCTCAAGCGTTCGAAGAATGACAGCAAGCCCTACTGAGTGCCCCCCCTCTGAGACTGGAGTGAGAGGGTCTTCTGGTAAGTGGGGGAGGAGCACCCTAACGATTCGAAGCCCTGAGGCTGTGTGTTGGCAGCCCTGGACCCTGATCCCTGCCACTCTCACAGGCACAGCTTGCCCCGAAGACTCGCTACTGCCTTCTGTGGGAGTTTCGCTTCGTACAGAGGACGAGTTTGTGCTTTGGTTTCCAGTGTTTTACTTTGGAGTTTAGGTGCCATATCCTGAGGGGTTTTTTTTTTCCCCTTTATTTAAAGTTTGCTGTGTTTGTAACCAGTGTGTGTTGAGATGGACCAACACCAAACCACCCTGGGGGAGGGAGAATGGGGAAATATTTTAAAAAGATGAAGATCAGGATTTGCCCCAGACCACCCAAGAGAGAGAGGACTGAGTGGAACAAAGTATGACCCTTACTTAGAGTGTCCCGAGTGCATGGGGGCGGGCTGCTCTGGAGGAAAGGCGGGTGACCCGACACTTAGTGCCCTGCAGCTGCAGGCGAAAGCGGCTTCACAGCTGCCTTCCATGGAAAAATACTGAGTTTCTGCCACCTATTTTTCAAATTCTTGTCCTGGATTTCTGCCCCTCTTTCATAAAAAGGGGTCAACAATTCTCTGGAAATAAAGCATCTCTTAAATTAGCTAATTTATGCAAAAAGCAGGGAGATATCACCCATTCCTGGCCTTCAAGCCTCCATTGGTATCAGATTGCCCTGCCTGCCGGCCCACCCAGTGGCTGTTAGGAGAAACAGCCAAGGAGTTCATTTTTAATTAAATCAACATCAAATTAGACCCTGGCCCATTTCCAACAAATCCCCTTTTTAAAAAGGCCTCTGTGGATGACATTGCTGGGTCTCTTCCTTGTAGTTCATCCTGAGCCACAGTTTTCTCCTGAGGGCAGATCTACAGGGTTAGCCCTCAGCGGTGATCTGAAGCCACCCACTTGTGGGGGAGGAGCCTGTTCCTGGGTGTCCTGAGTCATAAGATCCCTCCAGGTTTGGGTGCTGCCTTGCCGCAGGCAGACTTCACACTGAGGAAGAGGCAGAGATGCGCTCTACTCCCTCACTGAGGCGTCCAGGGGTGTAGTATATTCCCACAGTTATGGCAGATGCCTCTTTCAGCCACGCCAGTCCCATTTTCTGCCCTTGGGAACAGAGAAACAATAGCACGTTTACAGCCTCTGGATGGATTTAGTGTTCACTTACCTCAGTATTACTGTGTTCGTTTTTGTCCTCGCGCTTAGTTAACTGCCCACTGCCTCCCATGGGCCTCTGGGCTCTGCCTCTGCTCCAAGAAATGCCGTGGGCTGGGAGCCTACAGATTCGCGCTGTTGGCGGTGCGCACCTGGCAGTAGCCCTGTTGGGGCAGACTGTTGGCCCCAGCCAAGGGCTGGGTGCCTGGATCCCTGGGAGCCTATCCTGCCCTCACCAACAGCAGAGCACAAAGTAGAGGGGTCACTGCTGTGAGTCATATGGGGCATGCCTGCTGTGCTGTACCTGAGGTAGAGCCAGGGCCTACCGTCTTGCCACAAATTGGTGGTACTGGATTATCCCACTGGAGCCACTCCCTTCTCACAGTGATAACCGGGCTTGTCCTCTGAGAAACGTGAAACATACCCTTCTTAAGCGGAACCACGTAAACTTGAATTCTGCACACTGGGAGAAATGTGTCCTGTGTTTCAAAGGAGAAAACTGTTCTAAAGGCTTCCAGGGTCATGATGGGATTTTTTAAATAAATGCAAAAAAGAAAAAGAAAAAACAAAACAAAACAAAAAAAAAAGAAAAAAAATGCTAGGTTGGGGGAGACTCTGTTCTGAATCCCAGCCAGCTGGAACCAAGAATGTCGTTTCTATTTTTATAGAAGTTTTATACAGCTCCGGGGTGGAGAATATTTATTACCTAAATTATATCTCTGGAAAAGGCCAGGATTTTATAGAATCCAGAATGTGATTGTTGTACACACAGGGTGCTGTGTATGATTGAAACTACTGACTTTCTGTGGCATTCGCAGCCCGGCTAACGTGCCCGAGGGGCGGCATTAATGCTGTGAATTGGCAGAGGAGAGAGCTGTGCTCCCCGGGCGCTGCCAACGCCAGGCTCCCGGCCTTCTGTTCTGTCTTCCTCCTTGGCCAGAGCTCCACACTCTCCCGCCCCTTCCTCAGCCCTGTTGCCCCCTTGCCCACGAGGCTGTCCTGGCCAGGTGCAGCCTGCCTCCTTGGATCCACCGAGGCCTTCCCCACTCAAGTTCTCCCTCCCAAGGGGAGCGCTGGCCCCACAGGGCCCTGGCTGCGAGCCCATCACCGTGACCCCACTGCCCAGTGCATTGCACTGCAGAGGCGCTGCCCTTGAGCACAGTTCTCTCCCGGGCCAAAGATGGTTTTGTGTAGAAGCTGTTCCCCTCCGAGTCTCACTGTGTGAGAGGGCTCAGCCCTGAGAGTGGAGACTTGCAGTCAAGTCTTAAGCAAAACTTTTCTGTCGTGGAGGTGTCACTTACAATGTTTTTTCTGCCATAGTTTTGTTTCTTCCTTGGGTTACATCATGAAATTGATTTGCCTTGAATGCGGCCAGACCACTATCTCCTGGGCCCCACATAGGTGGCCAGGGCGGGGTGGAAGCTAAGGGCTTGGATTTCTGGGAACCAAGGGCTCTCCCATAGGATGGAGCAGAAATCCCGGCTCTCCGTGCTGAAGACCCCCCCCCCCCAGCCTGCATCTGTCTCCCCCTTGGGGAGGCCCCACCCCGAGACCTCGTCCTCCATCACTGGGCGCTTCATGGGAAATCCAAGCCTTAGGTTCCCTTCTGTCTCTGGCAGCTGGATGTTTTCTCGGTGTCCTCCGTGTCCTTTTTGACTCTTCCCTGTGTCCATTGTTAGCATGTGCAAAGTCCCCTGTCGCCCCGCCCCGCCCCACCCTGCTCCTCATTTCAGGGCTGTCCACACAGTGAGTGTCCTGTTCTCTCTCTCTGTTTGGATGTATTGCTCTGTGTAACTCAGTGGGTCTCCCTCTTTCTGGTTTGTTTTTTTTCTAGATTCCTGCCGTTTGTTCATCGTTGTGCCTAAAGCATGTCGATGTGGCGTCAAGTACATCGTCCAAATCCCTGTCTCTTCAGCTTCTCTGATGCTTGAACTCTCACCTTTGACCTTGTGTTGATCTTTGATGCTGATGTGTATTTTTATTATGTTTGTTTCTTTCTTTGTTTTTTCTTTCCTTTTTTTTTTTCTTTTCCTTTTTGTGCTGCCAAAATTGGTTTTGCTAGAACGACTGCTGAAGGGGAAATATTTAAACTTGCATTTGAATATAAAAATCTATTTTTCTAGAACTTCATAAGATAACCACTTGATTTTGTGATTCCAATTCTTTGTAATTGTCTTCAGAGCAGCCCTACTAGCACATACCGCGTGGTGTTTGTGTTTCTGTGAACACACAGCCAGTCTGTTTCTAGGCTTTGTTTCTGTGTGCTTAGTTTTAAAGACAACTTTGAAGTAAATAATGAAATAAAGGGTGTCACTAAACCTTTGAGGCTCCTGAGCACATTTTGCTGATACAGTTTGTGGGGCTTGAGGAGACCACATGTGTTGTTCTTATTTTTGTTTTTCTGAGTTCTTGACTGCAAAACACACCTGAATCCTCTCTTTGACAGCAGGCTGCAGTTTGGGCCCCAGCTGTCCCTTTCACTTTTCTTCTGTGGTCTTCCTTGGGGTGACCCTGTTGGGCGCCCGGGATCTCTCTGGCCCATCCTTCAGCCCACGGCTCACCTCCGTGCTTGTCCTACAGTCTCCACAGCAAAATGTGATGCTTTGAGTTTTTTTGTTTTTGTATTGTTTTTGTGTTTTTATTTTGAATATTTTTCCCACTAAGATCATGCTCAGAAAAAACTAGTTTTGCATGTTTCCTGCTATTTCTTCACACCTTCGTATATATCACCTTCACCTCTCTGTTTTCTATAGTTTGTGCAAAAACTGACTGATTTAAAAGGGTTTCAAAGAAGCTGTTTTAAATTGTTGTGGGGTTGATTATTTTTTTTCAAGATTGTATTGTTTTATTTTGAAGTGGCAACTTTCTCCCTATTGCCCGTGGAGCGTGTGCCTGTGCACTTAGACTGTCACCTCGTGTGGCGTCAGGTCTGAGCAGGGTACCCAGGGTGCCCGGGACCTGGGCCGCTCCCCAGAGGGGAGGGGAGGGGAGGGAGCGGCAGGGAAGTGGAGACACAGCCTGCCGGCCAAGGGGCACAGGGGCACAGGAGGCCTAGCGCAGGACCAGCACCCAGCAAGGAGGGCGCTCTACACCTGCCCACGCTTTCCTGGGCCACAAGCACAATACCACAGTCTGCACACTGTTTACAGCCCTGAGCACCGCCCACCCTGTTCGCCGGGTCTTCCTGGCTCTGCTCTGCTGGCTACTGCGTTGGGGGCCAGGGCAGGAACACGTTTTCTTAATTGGGTGAAGAGCCACATAGCTGCTGTCTCTGGGTGCCAGGCCAGCCAGTACTTTGGCTCCCCGAGGGGAACTTCCCCTCTTCTCGTGTGGCACCGTCCACCGTCCAGCCTCGGAGTCTAGGGGACTTGAGGAAGAATGTGAATGGAGGGGGAGAGGCCAGAGAGGAGAGAAGGCAAGATGGTCTGAGGAGGAAGAGGGAGCAGGAGAGGAGTTGGTGGCAGGACCTCCCCAGGCCTAAAGTGCTGGGGATGGGACCGCCAGGGAGGAGGGTGCAGGAGTGCTGAGGGACGGGTGGGGTAGAAGCACTGGTCAGCACCGTTCACGCTGGGCTGGAGAGGAGTGTCCTCGGCAGGCTGCCAGGCCATGCTGGAGGCCACTCGTCCTGGCAGGAGGGGCAGCCAGGCCCCGGTGTCCACCAGGCTTGGCGATTCCTGGGGAGATGGGTGGGGAGAGCCAGGCCTGGCCCAGTGCCCACTGCACCCACAGTCTGACTGCACAGAGCCACCTTGAGGCAGGGGCGCCAAGGCTGCCTCCCTGGGATTGAGAAACTGTGTTTGCCAATATACTTTGCTTTCAATTCCAAGAGGAGCTCTGGGAAAACCTGTGGATAAAACCAAATGCCAAATGTTGGACGTTGTTTCCTTTTCCTTTTCTCCCTCTGATTGTTTTAATTGTTCTGTGATGGTTTTAATGGATTTGAGACCCTGGAGCGGCAGCTGCCTTTCTGATTTCCGGCTGCTTTTTGTGAATAATTTAAAAAGAAAAAAAAAAGAAACTTTACATTTTGGAGACAAACCTGTGTGAGTTTTTTATTGGTACAAACGTTGTATTTAACACTAGGGGTTTTGTACAGTTTTTTGCCTTTTCTACTAGAAAACAATGTAAAGTGATTTCACAATGTGAAGAGAAAAAAAATTGCCACTATGACCAAACGCACAGTCTGTTCTGCAGCAGCAACGGGATTCAATCAACTCAAGTCGAGATTCAGCCGTAGAAACGCTTTTCCTTGGCCTTGTTCGAGCTTTCCTTTCTTTCCTGTTTTGATTTGCAAAAGAAAATGTCTTTTTGTGTGAACTTGTGTTGTACTCTGTAGAAAATTATGGATTTTACTTTAATGGTTAAAAAAAAGGTAAGAAAAGCCTTTGTTGCTTTTCTCACCCAATCACAGTTTGTGTAGTGGATTAAAAAAGAAAAAAAATGTTACCAGTTTGGAGCAAGGGAGTATGTGTTTCAAAGGACTCGCCTTCCTTTTTTGTGTGTTTTTCCTTTTGTCCCAATGGGAAACCTAAATCTGTTTTAATTGCACAGACACACAGACAAAAAGTCATTTTGTATCTGCCAAGTGTGGTACCTTCCTTTGTTTATTTGCTATTAAACTGTTTGAGAAGAACAGATGCCACCTTCAGAGTTGTTAATTGCTGGGGTTGGGCTGGGGCGAGGTGAAGTTGGGGTGTGACTGATGGGGATGCTGGTCAGGCTGCTCCCTGGTGTCCCTGACTGTGCAGCTCCACTGCTGAACGAGAACCTGGAGCTGTCTCCACCGCAGTCCCTCTTCCGGTGCTGCAGAGTCCCTGGAAGCCGCCCCTCTGGCACGAAGCCTACAGTGAGGCAGACTTTCCACAGGCCTTTCAGCTCCAGCCCAGAGTGCTTATGCTTCGGAGATTCCTTCAGTTCACCACCCCGTGGTTCCGGGGCCACCCCTGGGCCTCTGAGAAACTTCAAGGTCACTTGGCCACTGGGCCAGGGGTCTCAGGCTGTTTACTAAAGAATGGGTCCTTCTGTGTCGCTGTCATCCTGACAGGACCCCGGCGACTCTGGGCAGCTTACAGCCAGCACTTGGGTGTTTGCAGCAGTGATTCTGATGAGGTGAGTGCTCAGGAAGGAAGGTCCTGAGCGCCAGCATCCTCAGGGCCTGGGAGCGGTGGCCTTCTGCCTTCTGGTGCCCGAGGGCACGGGGTGTGCAGGGCACTGAGAGCCCAGCACAGAAGCTGCTCGGGGACACAAAACCAGAATCTGTGCAGTGAGAGGCTTACAAGATCTTGGCAACCAAGTGTTACCTCTAGTACCATTCTCCTGTTTATTCTTTTAAAACATTAAAACCAGCATTTTGTGTCAGTATGCAGGTAGATTCACCGGCTACTCTCTGCTGATTGGCAGCAGTCAGGTGTTTGTGGCACAGGCCACGAGGTGTCCTGGCCCTTCCTTGCCGCCGTCCCTCTGGTACAGAGACACCACTGGGTTAGAAACCAGCTGCCTGCTGGAGCCTATCGTGCGCTGAGAATAAACCAGATTGCACTTCGAGTGCTCCTGCGGCTCCCCAGGTGGTGCTGCACCCTGCAGAGCACAGAGCAGCCCCCCCCCCCCGGGCAGTCTTCTCCACACACAGGGTGGTTGGGTGGATTTGAAACAGCCTCACCATGTAGTGTAGACCAGGCTGGCCTCAAAGTCCTCCTGCCTCAGCCTCCCAAGTACTGGGATCACAGGTGTGTGCTGCCATGCCTCGCCCACACCTGCAGTGCTTTACTGAGTCTGGTACCAACTCAGCTGCTGTTTGTCTGATACTGTTCTTTGTTATTTACTGTGGCAAAATTCATACAGGATCAAAGTTGGCATGGTAATCTTTGCGTTTCTTTTTTTTTTGGTACCGGGGATCAATCTCGGGTCCTTGCGCTTGTGCAACAGGTGGCGAAACCACTGAGCTAAATCCCCGGCCCAGGGTTTCTTTTTTTTTTGAGACAGTCTCTCTGTGTAATCAGGCTGACCATGAATTCACTGTGTAGCCTAGGCTGGCCTCAAACTCACAGCAATCCTCTCAGCCTCCCCAGAGTGCTGGGATCATAGGCAAGCACCACCACACCCTGTTCCGTTTTTAACTATAATTTTTGTGGTATTAAGTACATTCACAATGTTTGTGCCACTTAAATGTTTCAAATCAACCCAGAATGCACCTTTTCAACCTCACCTTATTTAGACTTTTTTGTCTTCTTTTTTTTGGAGACAGGGTCTCTCTTTAGTTAGTCCAAGCTGGTGTGGAACTCACCATGGTCCTCCTGCCTCAGCCTCCCAAGTGCTGAGATCACAGGTGTGCATCACCACACCCAGCTCTGACCATGATATTGGCAAAATCATGAGTTTGAGGTCCTAATTCTGTTTGACGTACGTATTAAATTTCATAACTATTTGTATGTTGGAGTGCTGTACTTCACACCACCTTCCCAGACCCCATTCCTGAGCCTGACTCTTGGTAAATGCGAGGGCGGTTGCAGGACAATCCTCTTCATCTATCCGGCACATTTTGATCTCTGGCTCAAGTTCAGGCTGGGAGAGCTGCTGTCTTAGTCTACCTTGGGATTTTCTAAGAACTTGATAGGAAAATTGGATAGTGAGTACTATGTAAGCATCTTTCACACTTAAAGCCTGTTGCTTTTTACAGTTTACTTGGGGCCAGGTGTGGTGACGCACGCCTGTAATCCCAGCTCCCAGCTCTCAGAAGGATCCTCCTGTGCTACAAAGTGAGTTCAAGACTACCCTGAATTACACAGAGACACCCTGTGTCAAAAAATAACCAAAAGAGGTCCAAGGGTGGGGAACACTTGGCTAGCATGCATAAGGCCCCAACTAACTCCTCCATCTTGAATCTCTACACCTGCCTTGTCCCAGACGGTTACCCATTAGCCTATGGGTACCAGTATTAATTACCTCACACTCACCAGTCTCCTTTCATGAGTTCAGAAGCTGCAGTTCCATCATTGTAGTCCATGGTCAGCACTGTTGCAGACCATTACTTTGCTTTCAGAAAACAAAATCAAGCTGGGCGTGGTGAAACACATCTGTAATCCCTGTACTCTGGAGGCTGAGGCAGGAGGATCTCCACAAGTTCAAGGCTAGCCTGAACTACATAAAGAGACCCTGTCGGAAAAAACAAAATAAAGCCAGGTGTGGTAGCACAGTCCTGTAATCCCAGCGCTCTAGGAGGATTGAGGCAGGAGGGTCACAACTTCAAGCCCAACCTAGGCAACTCAGACTGTATCTCAAAAAAGGGTTTGTGCATGAACATGTGGTGCATGCCTGTGATCCCAGCACTTGGGGAGGCTGGGGCAGCTGAATCACAAGTTTGAGTCCAGCCTGGGGAACTTAGTGAGACTCTTGTCTCAAAACATTTTTGAAAAGGTTGGGGTTGTAACTCAGAAAGCCCTGGGATCAAACTCCTGTACTGCCAAGAAAAGAAAAAATACTTTAGTAACTGAATGAATCCCCATCCCTGAGCCCACTGACAAACTCATGAGTAGTGTGCTTCCAGGACTTTTCTTGTATGGACAATGCAGAGCACTGTACAGCTCATTCTTCCCAGGTACTGTCCTGAGCGTGCTTCCACCTGGGGACACCGGCATCTGCCACTTCCTTTAGCATTCATGGCTCATCGGCCACCTGCTTGTGGGACACGGTGTTTCTAGTGTTGTCACTAGCAGAAATAAGAGCAGCTAGGGCCAGGGATTTAGCTCAGTGGTTCCCCCACCTGCCTCGAAAGTGGAAGGTCCCGAGTTCGATCCTCAGTACCAAAAAAAAAAGAATAGCAGCCAATTAAGCAGCATTAGTTCAACATCCTGTTTTCAGAGCAACCTCATATTTTATCATCTCATTTGGTGTTCCCAGAAAACTTGAACCCAGAGCAGGCACATACTGTGCTAGGCAAGCGCCCCACGACTGAGCTGCACCGCAGCCTGTGCTCTGCTTTGCCTTGAGACACGGAGCTGCTACCTGACAGCAGATGCCCCCAGCTGCCCCCCAGCCCCGTGCAGTTATGTGGCCCAGAAGTGGCCCTCTGTGGCTCTTTGCCTGACTTCGGGTGGCTTTTGACTCTGCTCGGCTTCTCTTGCTACCTTTCTCCTGCCCACCCAGGCCACAGCTTTGCAGTAGGCTCCTGGCGACTTGGTGGTGTGGCAGGCAATGGCACTGAGTTTCTTCGTGCTGCTCTCTGGTTCCCCGGTCCGGCCACTTCTCCCCTCCCCCTCTCGGTCCAGGACAGCGCAGTGGCTCAGAGAGGGGCTCCTAAAGTCACACAGATTCAGCTCTGGTCCCAGCTCTGTCTCTGGATTGCAGTGTGGCCAGCTCTCTGTGCCTGTTTCCTCATCTGTAAACTGAAGTGATGCTTCACTGAGGAGATAGTAGGGTTCTGTTGGTCCCCTGTCACTTCGCCGGGATCTCCGCAGTGGTAAAATCACAGCCCTTGCCCACCGGAGCCTGCCTGTAAGCTGGGACAGTCACTGCATTCTGGGGAGCATCCCGGAAGTTAAAGTCCTGAAGGCAGTGTTGGGCTGTGCTGTGTAGAAGCAGCAGGTGTGAGCACTTCGCCACTCAGGAGCTAAGACCCACCTGGGGCAAGAGAAGCTTTTATTTATCCTGCAGGTTTCAAGCTGGAGATCACTAGGGTCCTGGCTCCTTTGGGCTATAGCTGCCAGCTGTCCCCTCTCCTCTCCTGCCACAGCCTCATGGCTGCCTGCTGAGTGGGGGACCTACTGAGAGGACAAGGACCCCAGCCCGAGCTCTCAATGCCAGCGGCCCAGGCCTAGGAGCGCTTGCCCCTCCTGTCCCCTGGACCTGCTGCAGTATCCCCTCTGTCTGCCGTGGAGCCCTGAGCTGGCTGCTCACTTCCTGACCCGGGTCCTGACCTCTGGGTCTGTCGTGCTCTGTTCAGGCGAGCAGGCTGGGGCAGATGCGATGCTAAGCCAGCAGCATTGCAGCTTCAGGAGTAACTTGCAATTCCTTCTCTCCCTGCATTCACTCACGTGATGGATGCATTGAGTGACTGCTGTGCCACACCTGGCTCTGGGGATACCGTACAAAGGCCCTGCCCGAACATTTAATGGGGGACGATACTGAACAAGTGACCTCACCAGTCTCTGACACTAGAGATGAGAGCATCCAAATGAACTGCAACTCCATGAGAGGATAATAAGTGGATTCACCCCAGCAGGACTTGCTAGGTTGAAGATCAGATCGGAAGGAGAGGGAACTAGGAGGTGCAAAGGCCCTGGGGCGGGCAACCTGGCAGTTCATCAGGAAGCTGAGTATACAATTGCCATAGGACCCAGCATCTCCACTTCTAAGTATACACCAAGAGAAAAGCACGTCCACCTGATGATCTATACATGAAGGTTTATAGCCTTACTGCTAACAGCCAAAAGGCAAAACAACCCAAACGCCCTCCATAAACACAGTGTGATGTAGCCATACAATGAGTATTAACCAGCCATAAAGGGTGAAGAGGCGAAGCAGCAACCCTTGAAAACATACCAGTCACAAAAGGTCTCCTGTTGTGTGATACCCTCTTTCACCGGCTACTTTCAGGCTCTTTATTTTACTGTGGCACTGGGGTTGGGACCCAGGGTGGTGCGCGTCCCTGTCAGTTGCTGACCCCAGCTGCACCCTCGCCCTGGGTGACCCCCAAGTCTGAAATGCCCACAGCAGAGGGAGCTGTGCCCCAAGCAGCTCCCGCTGCAGAGCTGCTCTGTCTCGGCAGCCGGCAGCTGTGCTGGTTTCTGCCGGGCACCCCAGGCTGCCTTTGTCTGCTGGACTCCTCCTCATCTCCCCAGAGGTTGCCAGGCCATCTTCATCACCTCGTTCTACCTCCCTGAGTCCTGTAGAGCCCCTGTCCCCAAGTACTGGGTGGGGGATGTAGCTCAAGAGCTGAGCACTTGCTGAGCATGTGTGAGGCCCGGGCTTCGATTCCCAGTGCCATAAAAAAGAAAACATATGCATATAGCACATTCCTGAGGTACTGGGGTTAGGATTTCAACCTGCTAACTTGGGTTGGGGGACACAGTTCAGCCCTAACACCAGAGGGACCCAGAGTGAGCGCTGATGCACTCGGCATCTTTTGGGGCTTAATGATGGTGTTTTGGAATTAGTGGCAGTCAGGATGGTGTGAATGTACTAAAATCTACTGAATTACCCCTGAACAGAGGGCAGGGGAGGGGAGAGGAGAGGAGCTGGTGGTGGGGTGGGGTCCCTGCCATGGGGCTTCTCCACCCCGACCTCCAGGGCTCCAGGGGTCTGCTCTCTGCACATGACCTCTGCCTCCCCATAGTGGCCTTAGAGCTGTTAGTTAGGGACCTTTTCAAACCAGGGTTGGGATTGGAATCAGGACATTTTATTAATGTGTTTATTGATACTATGGTGTAACCCCAAGGCATTAGCGCTGAGCTACATCCACAGCCCACATTTTTTTTTCTTTTTTGGTACCAGGGATCGAACTCAGGACCTTGTGCTTGTGAGGCAGGCGGCGGAACCACTGAGCTAAATCCCCGGCCCTGTTTCTTTTGAGACAAAGTCTCACCAGGTTGCCCACGATGAGCTCAAACTTGAGATCCTCCTGCCCTAACTTCCAGGAGCATTAGCGTTACATGCTTTCGCCGTCAGCCCAGCTGGGGTGCACAGCATTGTCAGTGCCAGCACTGTTGGGTCCCTGGCACAACTGCATCATTCAGTGCTCATGCTGTCCCACGAGCCAGGGCACCCACCTTCGGTCACCACACAGCGGCAGCGGGAAGTGGCCTGGCGCCAGGCCAGGTGCCAGCCTTTTAGAGTCCCTTTTTGTCCTCCTACTGTTCTCAAAGGGCAGAAGAGGAAACTGAGGCCCAGAGAGGAAAATGGCTTGGCCAGGGTCCTGGGAGTTAGCAGGAGCCCAGGCTACAGCACAGGGACAAAGCTGGGGCCAGGGACATGTGGGCAGATGGGGAGGCAGCTCTGCACCAGCCCCCTGTCGTCTCTGCTTCTCTGCCAGGTTCCTGATGGCCACTCCCAGCAGGGGTGGGCACATGGGGGGCCAGCGAGACCCCCAGGGGCATGAGGCAGTCAGGGGCGGGTCCCCTGGGAAGCCATCCGGGTGGGTGTGGCCTAGGCCCACGTGACCCTGCTGCTGACATTCCTCAGAGGCCACGTGGCTCCAAGTGGCAGGGACAGCTGCGCACAGGGCTGCAGAGGCAGCTGTGTTCCCAGGGTGGCCCCTGCTCCCAGCCAGGCACCACTTGGCTCCTGCCGGCCGCTGCTTTCCTTCCTGGGGCCCACCCAGGAGGGGTCGTCCCATGAAGGCCTAAGGGTACGGAGGAGCCACTGGGGTCTCCGTGGGCAAGGGCCGAGGTAGGATGGGGCAGGACCAGACGAAGCAGCAGATCGAGAAGGGGCTTCGGCTGTACCAGTCCAACCACACGGAGAAGGCACTGCAGGTGTGGATGAAGGTGCTGGAGACCAGCCCGGACCCCGCGGGCCGCTTCCGTGTGCTGGGCTGCCTGGTGACGGCCCACTCAGAGATGGGCCGCTACCGGGAGATGCTCAAGGTGGGTGCTGCCCCGGGGTGGGCAGGACTGGGGCTTTGGATCCAGGCCAGGGGCCTTGAACTTATGTGTTGGAGCCTCTGACACGGAGCCCCAGGGCCCAGGATGTGGGGCCGGGAGCCCAGGTCTCAGACTCCAGTTCCAGCCTCCTGGTGGGGTTCTGTGTCAGAGCTGGCCGTGGGCTGCAGACGGCTCCACTGGGCTGGGAGGGTGCAGGCTCGGATCTGAACCCTTAGGTTCTGCTGCTTTGGCTGGGAGGTCAGCTGCAGGCCAAGTCAGAGCCCTGCCTCCCCGCCTCGGCAGTTTGCTGTGGTCCAGGTGGATACCGCCCGTGAGCTGGAGGATGCGGACTTCCTCCTGGAGAGCTACCTGAACCTGGCCCGCAGCACCGAGAAGCTGTGCGAGTTCCCCAAGACCATCTCCTACTGCAAGACCTGCCTCAGCCTGCCCGGCACCATGGCAGGCGCGCGGCTCGGGGGCCAGGTCAGCCTGAGCATGGGCAACGCCTTCCTAGGCCTGAGCCTCTTCCAGAAGGCCCTGGAGAGCTTCGAGAAGGCCCTGCGCTATGCCCACAACAACGACGACACCATGCTGGAGTGCCGCGTGTGCTGCAGCCTGGGCAGCTTCTACGCGCAGGTCAAGGTGGGCCTGGAGATGTGCTCCCCTTCCCTACAGCAACCCTGGGGGTCTTTCAGTGCCCGGCACATAGTAGGAGCTTAGTAAACTTGCGGGTGAACAGCCGTGGCTGCTCGTGGTCAGAGGGTGGCTGGAGGAGATGAGGGAATGCAAAGACAGCCACGCAATTCTGGCTTCCGGAACTGAACTCCATTCACTGTGATGGCAGGATTGGGGAGAGGCAGCTATATTTTTAAACCTTTTTTATTTTGAAGAAAACCGGATGAGAAAATAGAATAATACAATGAATTCTCATATAAGCACCACATAGATGGAATAATTGTGTGTATTTTTGCCACTTTCTTTTGGGTGGTATTTGGGATTAAACCCAGGGCCTTCACACTGAGGTACATCCCTAGCCCTCTTTTATTTTTACTTTGAGACAGGGTCTCATTAAGTTGGCCCAGCTGGGCTTGAACTTGGACTCCTCCTGCCTCAGCCTCTCAGAGTGCTGAGATTATAGGTGTGCACCGTCGCACCTGGCTCTCGGTGTACTGCAGAAACTGGAGGAACTGCCATATAGGGTGCCACATCTCATGTGTTTGTTGTTTCCTTGAGGACTCATTAATTTCTTCCTCTGTGTCCTTTATCCCTTATGGAGGGGAGGACAGAGTGACATGTGCAAGGTCACTTGGGGTGTGTTTTTACCGTACAGACACTGCCTTGCCCTTCATGCTGCATCACATCAGGGTGGTTAGGGCTTGACAGCTGCCCCCTCCAAGTTCAGGGTCGTATCTTCCTTCCAGGCGGGCAGGTTGACCCTCAGGCCGACACTTGGGAGGTGTCCTGTATCTTCAGCTTGGCAACAGTTCCCCAGTGGTCTTAACATCCATTGCTGTTCCTGCCGGACTCAATCATTTCAACTAATGGATGGTGATTTCCAAGTTCCTGGATTCCTTCCTCATTTATTAGCTGGGGTTTTTATCTAAAAGAAGACACTTCTCTCTTCAGTGTTACTCTGGAATATAGTTCCTCAAGGAAAGGCAGAACACTTTCCCCTTTTCTCTAATTGCCACTTTTCAGAGTGTCGGCACTGTGACCCTCGCAGGCCATGCTCGTCCAGCCTTCTCTCTGGGTATCACCATTACATCTTGAACTGTTTTCCTCTATTCATTCAGTCAACTGCAGTTCTCCCTCCCCTCCCCTCCCCTCCCCCCTTACAAGGGATCAAACCCAGGGCCTCCTGCATGCTAGGCAAGGGCTCTACTACTGAGCTACATCTCTAGCCCTTGTTAAGTTGCCCAGGCAGGACTCAAACTTGCAATCCTCCAGCCTCTGCCTCCTGGAGCATTGGGATCACAGGTGTGCACCACCATACCCAGCTGAGTTTTATTTTTAAGTGAAATGAGAAATGCCAGAGCATGTCTGTACACTGTTGGGAAGGATTCAGGAGAAAAAGAACACAGTGACACAGAGCCAGGGCTTGGGGGTGGCTGGCATGTGGCGGGGGCAGGGACAGGACGGGAAGGTGGGAGCATGGTGGGTGCACAGTTCCCTCTGGTCTTCTGCCCTCCTGATGGACAGGAGGTGACGCTGCGAGAGGAGGGCAGGGAGAAAATGCTTTAGGGCCTTGAGGAGTCCGTGGGAGAGTGTTGTGATGTCCTTTGAGCTGATGGTTCTGACAACTTGTCACTGAGCCCTGGGGGACACTGGCGCCCGTGGGGGGCACTGATACCCCCCACATGGCCCTGAAGCTGAGGTGTCCATGTGGGACTGGAAGCCAGCTGCTGGCTCCCATCCCTGCCTTCCCTTTTCTCCTTTCCCTTTCATGTCCTCTAGTTTTCTTTTGGAGCCAGGGTCTCACTGTGTGGTTCAGGCTGGCCTTCGATCCATTCTGTTCCCCAGGCTGGCTTGAACTCATGATCCTCCTGCTTCAGCCTCCCCAGTGATGGGGTTACAGGCGTACACCATCGAGCCCACTGCTTTCTCACCATTTCATTCATTCTTTGCAGAAACACGTTTTGTGTGTGTGCTAGGCCCAAGCACTGGGCTGGGCTCTTGGGATCCGGCAGCAGTGCTGATCAAGGCTGCTCTTCCACCAGGGTCCCTGACCTGGAGGCGAGAAGGGGCAGTGCCCAGCGGCACCCTGGAGCCCCCACATGGGCAGTTCCCATACTCAGGTCCCCTCCACCTGTGTCCCCACAGGACTATGAGAAAGCCCTGTTCTTTCCCTGCAAGGCGGCAGAGCTCGTCAACGACTATGGCAAAGGCTGGAGCCTCAAGTACCGGGCCATGAGCCAGTACCACATGGCTGTGGCCTACCGCCTGCTGGGCCACCTGGGCAGCGCCATGGAGTGTTGTGAGGTGGGGTCACAGGGAAGCAGCGGTGGGGAGGAACCAGGGCCACCACCTCAGGGCTGAACCCTGAAGGAAGTTTGAGCTCAAGTTCAGCCCTTCCAGCCCATCCTTAGGGGAGGGGATTCCCTTGGCCCCCGCACCCTCTATGGACCCCCAGAAGAATCGGGCAGGAAGGGAGCCAGTCTGCGGTGCCACAGACAGGGCTCAAATCCCAGCCAGGCTGCTTGCTCGCTGGGTCCTTGATCAAAGCACTTCTCCCCAGCCGTGGCTTCCTGCTGTCAGTCAGTGATGGAGCCACCCTGCCTGTGCTGGGGCCGCCGTGCTCGGGTGCATGAGGCCTCGGCACAGCACAGGTGCAGGCAGCTCTGAGGGCACTGTGACCCCAGCTGCACCCCCCTCGCAGGAGTCCATGAAGATTGCACTGCAGCACGGGGACCGGCCACTGCAGGCACTCTGCCTGCTCTGCTTTGCTGACATCCACCGGAGCCGTGGGGACCTGGAGGTGAGGTCACTGGGTTGGGTGGGGGCTCTGGCCTGGCCCAGCCTGATGCCACCCGCTCTGCTGCACAGACCGCCTCCCCCAGGTACGACTCCGCCATGAGCATCATGACCGAGATTGGAAACCGCCTGGGGCAGGTGCAAGTGCTGCTGGGCGTAACCAAGTGCTGGGTGGCCAGGAAGGCACTGGACAAGGTGAGGGCAGCCCTGTTCCGTGCCCCAGCTCCACCCACCACCCCTGCTCCAGGCCAGCCAGTGCCTCCGAGCTGCGGTGCCATCCGGGCCCTGGCTCCCTTGGGCCCCATCTCAAAAGTTGGCCTCAGCTGCTCCCGGGAGGCCGGGACAGTCCAACTTAACTTCCCAGCTCGGAGCAAGGTCACCCTGGCCCAGGGACCCATGGCTAGTGAAGGGCCCGTCTGGGACTCGAACCTGGGACACTCACTGACTCGCACAGTCTCCCAGCAGTGTGAGACAGGCATGTCCTGTCCATTCTGAACGTGCACAGGCTGAGGCTCCTGCAACTCTGCCCTTCTCTCCTTGCTCCTGTCACACACGGGGCAGCAGCCCTATCCTGTCCCTACCCATCTGCTCTAAGCCTCTGTCAGACCCCATGCCCGAGCCCCGGCCTTTGCTCACCTTGCAGGCTCTAGATGCCATCGAGAGAGCCCAGGACCTGGCTGAGGAGGTTGGGAACAAGGTCAGATCTGAATCTGTCTCATGGACCAGGGGTTCTGAGGAGAACCCCTCAGACCTGGGCGACCCTGAGCCCTGCCTGACCCCCAGCCCCAGCCCTGGGCGGGGGCGGGGGCGGGGAGGACACGTCATCCTACGAGGGGATTCCTCAGAGCCTCTGAGCATCACTAGTCTCCAGGCGGTGGCTTCCAGTCCCGAGAGCCGGAAGCACAGCTTCAATAGGTGTCACTTCCTGTCCTGTCTCTCAGGTGGCACCGTGGCCCTGTTACTGAGAAGCCCAGTGCAGCTCAGAGTCACAGATGTCCCTCACCCGCCCCCTGCCCTGGGTCAGGCCAACCGGGTTCCTTCCACAGCGAATGTGGCGTCTCCACATTCAGTGCATCACCACGTCCAGCCCAGATGCAGGGCCAGGCTCAGCGGTATGAGGCTTCCAGAAACCTGCAGTCGCTCCTGGGCCCACTGCGCTCGCCTTTGGCGATGTAGACTCAGGTTCCTGGGGTCCAGCTGCTAGAAATGTGGGTGAAGACAGGAAAGAAAGGTGCTGTGGTTAAGGCCAGGCCACAGATGGGGGCCCTAAAATCCTCCAGAGAACGAGTAACCGGCAACCTCTGCTCTCCTACCCCATTCTGCTGGACCGAACCCAGGCCCAGAGAGGCTGGGCGTGCTGGCCCTCTGTCAGGCGGGCAGGCAGGGCAGGGCTGGGCTGCACAGCACCGACCTGGTCCCCGTCCCCGTCCCTTGTCCCCGCCAGCTGAGCCAGCTGCGGCTTCACCGGCTGGCCGAGGACATCTGCCGCAGCAAGGGGCTGCAGCGGGAGGTGCGCGCCCACGTCGTGCGCTTCCACGCATGCGTGGAGGAGACCGAGCTCTACTGCGGGCTGTGCGGCGAGGCCATCGGTGAGCAGAACGGCCGGCTGCAGGCGCTACCTTGCGCGCACCTCTTCCACCTCAGGTAAGGGACACCGGGCTGCAGCACGCCCCTGACAGGGCCCACACACACTGGCCTGGTGCTGCCTGGGGCCCAGGCTGCTCCAGGAACTTCCCATTCTACCGCTCAGAGCCCTCCCAGCTGCTGTGGGTGACGTCCTTCCTGTCATTACCAGAGGAATCCAGAGGCTTTGTTTCTATTAGGTAGGGGATCGAACCAAACCGAGGGCCTTCACATTGAGCTAAGGCCCCAGCCCCCTTATAAAAAATTCTTCAGGGGGCCGGGGATTTCGCTCAGTGGTTCCGGCGCCTGCCTCGGAAGCACAGCCCGAGTTGAATCCCTGGTACCAAAAAAAAAAATCTTCACTTTGGGACAAGGTCTCCCTAAGTCACTAAAGTGCCCAGGCTGGGCTCAAACATGTGATCTTCCTGCCTCAGCCTCCCAGAGTGCTGGGGTTACAGGCATGCGCCTCATGCCCAGGCCCAGCTGTGTTGTAAGCACTTCCCGTTTGCTGGCCCACCGAGCCCTCCCGCAGCCCTCCGGGTGGCCGTTCTTGCGTCCTTTCCCCAAGGATCTCAGAGAGGTCTATGTGAACCAGCAGGTCAGACCTCCAGCTTGCTCAGCGAGGGTGATGCCAGCCCCAGCCAGCTCCACTCTGCCTCCTGTGCAGGAGGCTCAGGGGGCGGGAACCTCCGCCTCAGTGCCACAGGCCCCTCTGCCCTCGTAGGTGCCTGCAGCGGAACTCTGCGTGGGGCTGCCCCAACTGCCGCCGCGCATCCATGAAGCCCGGCTTCGTGTGACTTCTGCCTTGTCCCGAGCTCCACCTTGCTCCCTCTTCGAGCTCGCTACCTGCAGCTGCACCAGAGCCTCAGTTTACCCCGGGTAGCCGCATGGCCTCCAGGGCCACACAAGGGCCTGGGCTGCCTCTGCTCCTCCACGGGCCTCCCCTGGCTCTTTGTACTTTGGTCTTTGTAGAAAAATAAACCGTTTGTACCTGGCCCTGGATTCTCACTCTCTCTGCCCTGTGGGAGGTTGAGGTTGGGGCTCCCACAGGGCCTCCCCAGCCACAGCCCCCCTGCCCAGACCCCTAGGGCCTCACTGCCTTGCCAGGGCCCCGATATCTTAGTGACCTGGAGGTGGCACAGCCAGGGGACCACACTGAAGGCCATGTGTCCTGCACACCGTGAGCACTGTGCCAGGCCTATGAAGGGTTCGTCTAGTGAGCAGAGAGCATTCTGCACACAGGCTGGCTAAAATGTAGAAGAGAATATTACAGGGTTTTCTAGAAATTGAATATTAATGCACTGGCATAAACGCAGGGCCTGGCAGCACTGTCGTTCTCCCCAGGCCACAGCGGCTTCAGTCAGGCTCGGGCACAAAGCCCTGCTCTGCCACTCAGGTCTGCATGACCTTGAGACAGTCACTGTGCCTCTCAGAGCTTCCATTTCCTTGTCTGTACTAGAGAGGGACTAATGCTAATTCCTCAGACAGTGCTGTGAAGGGTTAGAGGGCCAGGTGTGGTGGTGCACGCCTGTGATCCCAGCATGCCAGGAGGCTGAGTCAGGAGGACCCAAAGTTTGAGCCTACCCTGTCTAAAAACAGTAGGGGGGTGGCGGGGATTTAGCTCAGTGGTTTCGCCGCTTGCTATGCAAGCGCAAAGACCCAAATTCGATCCCTGGTACCAAAAATTAAAAAAAAATTAAAAAATAAAAAAATAAAAACAGTGGGATGGTTGGGGATGTAGCTTAGTGGGAAGGCCCTAGATTCAATGCCCAGTTTAAGAAAAAAAGAAAGCACCGGGCGTGGTGGTGGACCCCTGTAATCCCGGCACCTGGGAGAATGAGCCAGGAAGATTGCTGTAAGTTTGAGTCCAGCCTGGACTACATAGTGAGACCCTGTCTCAAAAAAATCAAAATAAATAATAAATAAAAGTATTAGAGATAATGGATGGGATTTCCGGCATGCACTACCACTCCTGGCAGGAAGGGAGGGATTTGAACCCCTTATTTGCATGCCCAAGATGTAGAGTAGCCTTCCAGAAACTTCCCTGGTTTCAGGCTTGCCCCTGGGTGCCACAGTTCCCAACCATCCTGGAAGACCGTGGCTGCACTCACCTCTCTCTGTGACCACCTTCTAGCAGCTCACGGGTCAGATGGGTGCAGGCTGGGAGAGGGGAGGATGGGCCCTCACTGCCTGCTGTGCCCCTGGCAGGGGCCGCATGGAGGGAGAAGGAGGAGCACTGGGCAGGTGGGGACCAGCACGGCCGGGGAGCAGGGCCAGTCCAGAGCCTTGGAGCAAGTGACATGGCCCAAGGGGGGTGCGAGGGCACTGTGGTGAGGGGACAGTGAGTCGTATTATCTCCCTGCACCCCAGCTCCCCATCTGCTGGGCTGAGAACGAGGTCATCTGGGTGGGGACCATTAGTAAGGATCCAAGGTTGGGGGCCAGCAGGAGGCGGTGAGCAGCCAGGGGGCCGAGAAGAAACAGGGCCTAAGGGCAGGAACAGTGGCTGCAGGAGCCTTGGGGGACAGGTGTAAGGCCTGGTGAGGGAGAGGCAGGAGCAGGAGCTGGGGGAGCAGGAAGGACCCTCATCCTCATCCTCGTCCTGCTGGCGGCAGAGCGGCCTCGGGCCAGGAGCTGCAGGACAGCCTCTCGAGGCGGGTGTGTGGCACTGCTCCTGCCCTCTTCACAGACCACATGCTTACCCCTTAGCCTCTGTCTCCCCACATAAAATGGGGCGCTATGGACTCCACTTGGGGCAGCACCCTGTGAGCAGAGCCCGGCTCTGGCTTGGTGCCCTGCCCAAGATGTGGCATTATGGGGTCTCCCGTCTCCTCTTCTGTGAAAGCACCGCTCCTACTGTCTCCAAAGATCTTCAAGAGGAGGGCCTTGCTAGGCCTGGTGTGATGGCACACACTTGTATCCCAGCATTCAGCACTGAGGCCGGAGGACCACTGCAAGTTCAAGGCCAGCCTGGGCTACATAGTGAGACCCTGTCTCAAAAAAACAAGAAACAACAGAAAAGGGCTGACAGGGCCTACAGGGCTGTGGGGCCAGGGTCTCCCCAGTGCCTGAGAGCCCCATGGGACAGTACATCACACAGCTGGCGTGTGAGAGCCAGCACCCCGAGCCAGTCCAGGCTTGGACAGCACCCCCTGCACCCCTTCTACCCGCAGATGAATGGCCAGGTGTCTTGGTTCAATTTAGAACAAATGGGTTTCATCATCCTGCCTGGCTTTGCGTGTTCCTGTGCCTGGGTCCTGGGCTGGCTGCCTGGGGCGTGGAGCAGGGAGCAGGGCTCTGCAGAGCCCGAGTGTCTGAGCGGGTCTAGCAGCCACTTGTCCCCTGTGCGCTGCTTGGTGATGGGCAGGGCCCTTCTGTGGGGGCTCCAAGGACAGCCCCGCCCTAGGGGGCCCAAGCAGGGTAAGGAGGCGCCCAGGCTGGTGAAGGTCTTGGGGACATCCGAGCGGGGGGAGTATGTGTGGAGGTCCCACTGTGGGCCATCTTAGTGCCAGGCTGCTCTAGCCAGGACCTGCTATTCAAGAGAAACGGGGCCAGATCCTAGTTAAAGGCAGCTTGTGTCCAGTGCTCATGCAGTAGGGCAAAGGCATTTCAGTTCGGAGTACAGCAAAGATAGCTCTGCAGGGCTGGAGATTTAGCTCAGTGGTTTCGCAGCCTGCTGTGCAAGCAGAAGGACCCGAGTTCAATCCCTGGTACCAAAAAAAAAAAAAAAAAAAAAGATAGCTCTGCAGAATGAGGGGCTTGGACAACAAAATTATTCAAAGGAGGCCCCCAGGGTACAGGGATTCTTGCCAACAGCAGGACAAGCAAGGACTGGGAAATCCAAGGTGGGAGACAAGGACTTGATGGGATATCAAGGATGACCAGACATCAAGGGTGGAGGGATTGTTACCCTGAGTAGGATTTTTGTTTGGTTGTTTGCTAGGGTCTCAATATGGCAATCCTTGAACTCATGGCAATCCTCCTGCCTCAGCCTCCCAATTGCTGGGATTACAAGTGTGAGCCACTACATCCCACCCCAGCTGGGCTTCTTGATTCCTGTGAGACAACTCTGAAAAGTAGAAATTTGAGGTCAGCAGCTCCAGTGCTGACAGTGACTCACTGATTGACCTTGGGAAAGTCACTTAACCTCTCTGAGCGCTGTGTGCTTATTTAGAATTGAGAATACTTCAGTCTTTCTACGAGGCAGATGGATGGAATAAAACCCTGCTACCTGAGGAAATGTTTTGTCAGCCCAAGTGACAGTTAGAGATCCTGTCTTAAAAACAACAAAAATGAACACACACACCCGATAATAAAAAGGGTTGGAGCCGGGCATGGCAGTGCATACCTGCCCTGCTCACTGAGATGGTGAACCAGGGACAGAGAACAAACGCTTGCAGACCCGAGCCCTGTTTCTAGCTACAGACTTGACATCTGAGCTCTTCCCACAGGAAGGACTCCCGTGCAGCCTGCACTGACATTTGCAGCAACAGCAGCAACTTCTCTCTTTCAAACAAGTTAGTGGGGAGCTGTGGTAGCGCATGCCTGTAATCCCAGCAATTAGGAGGCTGAGGCACGAGGGTCACTATGAGGCCATGCTGGACCACATGGTGAGGCCCTGTCTCCAAAGACTAAAACTAAAACAAAAAACAGGATAGCCCGTTTCTCTCTGCTAACCCTGGGTGGCCAGCTTATATTTAAATAAATATCAGCCGTAAAAGTGCGACGTCAGGTCACATGTCATTTTTTTGCCTTTCGCTTACGGCTAGAGATAATGTTTACAGTTTGGGAGACACAGCCTTTATGCAAATCCCCCAACTCTAAGTGGGTACGGATTCTGAGGTAGAGCGCAATCCTTCGCCAAGCCCTTTCAATTCTGGTTCAGATGAAACTGCATTTCCCTAGAGCCCTGTCGGCTCCCGTCTTTCTCCCGCCCCTTCCGGTTTAACACTCAGTCCCCGCCCCCTCGCGCCCAC